TGAATTCTGGGATATGGTGGGCCACGAAGGATACACCTGACCCATCCTTCAAATTCGGGGAAAAGGAGGACGCATTTGTCGGCTGCATTCAGAGGAGTCTATGAATTTGGACAGCCTTCGTCGCGTTGCTGTGATGTAATCAGCCTACAAATGCGTCCTCAGGAGGATGCAGCCCATGAATTTGGACATCCCCTTTGATTAAACTGAGCCACTGTTTCTAAGTTCCCATATTATGTAATGTAATGGTTTATTTTATTTTAAAATAGTGCAAATCATGTTTAAATCCCATTCAATTGCTTTTTTAATTCATCTAATTTTTTTACTACCCCCCTACCAAAAAATAAAATAAAATAAAATTAGATGAATAAAAAAGAAAACAAACAAAAAACTAAGCAAAGCAAAACAAATGTATACTTCTGATGTTAGGGAAAAATTAAATACGCTAAGATAGTGACGGAAAGTGCTTTCTATATAGTAGCATTATCATTATGGCCTATGCGGAAATCACGCTTAGCCTGTAAATTGATATGTATGCAGAAGTTGCAGTACCACCAAGAGGAGGCAGAGAGTCACTACTAACTAAAGAAGATATGACGTACAGGCTCCTTCTATCCCAGGTAAGATTAAGCCAGATGACTGATAAGTATTTATGTGTAAATGTGTTAGTAATGCGTCTTTAAACGTTTGTTACCTTGTAAATGAAGCAGCAGCTCACTCAAAATTCTGCATGTGTGTCTTTTACATTCTTTGCTGTGATACTGGGTTGCATTATGTCAGAATTCCCACACTGTGTCTTTTGTCCTATCTCCCTCCTTTCACGCACCAAATGGTTGCAGCAGATGGCCCCGCCCCTCTCTGAGCCTGGTTCTGCTGGAGGTTTCTTCCTGTTAAAAGGGAGTTTTTCCTTCCCACTGTCACCAAGTGGTTGCTCATAGGGGGACATCGGCTTTTGGGGGGTTTTCTGTTTTTGAAAAGTGAAACCAGATGTACTTAAAACTGACATTTTTTTTATAATTGCCAAGGGTCAAGCGCTATCGCTGGGAAAAGTCTTTGGTTGCTATAGGAATCCATGGGAAAACAGCCTTCACCCCAAAAACAGTAACAACCATTTTCTGATGTTTGGAGTCACACTGAGTAGTAAGTCTGTTTTATAAGGTCATTCTACGAGTCATAAACGAAGACTAACCAAGAAATGCTTATTGGGCCCTGCTCCGATTGGTGCATGGATACACTGCTCTGACGTGACTGGTCCCAGCTGGAGGACCCGCCCATTAAAAGGATGATGGAGTGCCATGGCAGGAGAGGTTCTCCCGTTTCTCCTCACGACCCACCAGTGTGGCTTGAAAGTTGTGGAAGTGGAGTGGGTAGGCGTGAGCTGCCGTTTCTTTTGATCACCCTATTTTTCCTATTTTGAATTAGTTAAGGAGGTCAGACTCTGTCTTTATTTTTGACTTTGTTTTGGTAAGGTCAGGAGTGCGGGATTTGTGTTGACACTCCCGTTTGTGTTGTTCCTCTTTTTCACTTTATAAATAAATGGCATTTAAAGAACGAAAAAAGAAAAAAAGAAAAAAAGAAAAAAAGAAGAAATGCTTATTGACTAACTACTTCTCATGTGTAATGCTACCGTTGCCATGTCCATCTTTTATATACAGTCTATGGACAGAACATAGAGTAGATATCGACAGAAGTTCATTTTGAAAAGAATCTTTAAAACGAGAAAGAAGTCTGACCAGAAAGGCCACACACAGGTTAACTCGACATGATATAGACCTGATGTTGAAAATGTGAGCAGTCGGGAGTTAGTGTGCACTGGAGAGGGAAAGCGTGTGCTGTAAGTCTCAGTACTGTACCTTGTGAAGCAATCTTTGAGTCACTGCTACTGACAAACAACCCTATCAAACCTCTGCAGATATATTGCACTCATTCTGTACTATGGAGCAGTAAAAATCCTAATGCATCTTTAAGTCACTCTGGATAAGACGCGCTTGATAAAATGCCAGAATGGGAAGTTTACAGCCCAGCTCGTAACAAGAGTGAAAAACAAAAACTTTTTTCTTTTGGATTGACGTCGATTTTGAAACAAAAAGGTAAAAAAAAAAAAGTGTAGTGACGAGAACAGTTAATGGCTAAATGAATTCAAATTTGACTAACCTTGTAGTTGCATGCAAATCCTCTACAAGACATGAATCCTGCATCAAATGGAGTTTATATATCTCCAGACATCAGTAGCCTAGCTAAATGCAACTTTTTTTCTGCTTTGATTTCCTCCGGGAGGTTTTGTCTGTATCCGGCTGTACAGAATGTCCTGTTTATTATTCATACATTTAAATAAATTTGCACAAGGGACCTGCTCAGTACAAGCACAATATAACACTTCTGGAGACTGCTGAAAGATAAATGCCCTTCTCAATGTCAGTTTGATGGCAATTGTTGAGACAGGGGAGTGTTTTGTTCATTTACTTTCATCATCCAGATTTTGCAACCTGTCCTGCTATTTTGACCCGAAGGAACACTCTAATTTTCCTACTATCCTATATATACTATTACAGTGGTGGATACTCATATTAAACATAAAGTTAAAAAATAATACAGTCGTCCTACTTTACAAAGAACCTGCAATAACAACTAGCTCAGGCTTGAGACTGCAGATAATTGTACTTTTCACACAGATATCAGTAAGAATGCATATTTCTAATATTGCCCCTGGATCATATTAGTATCTATCTATCTATCTATCTATCTATCTATCTATCTATCTATCTATCTATCTATCTATGGCAATGATTATAAATTACAAGGTGAAAACGAGAGGACTCTATCTAGGCACAGTATTAGATAAATAAGGATATTTTGAACAAGTAATTATGTAAAACTGGGTGCGCATATTAAAATATGGAGCCATAAATGAGCATAACAGGCACCTTTTATGTCTTCTAAAAGACACTGTGGGTACATTGTGTTAAAACACTTCATTAGAGGTGAATTAATGAGCGCCAGTGTAGTTTGGACCTCTTATATTTGAGAGCAACAGCTGTGCTTAAGGAAGGGGTCTCTCACTTTGACAAAGTCCTGTGAGGGTCCATCAGAGCAGAATTAGTGATGGGGTAGAGGAGAGAGCAGCCTGAGAGAGCAGCCTGAGAGAACCCCGAGGGGGCTGGACGGGATTAGACGAGGCTGTGCGGCCTGCCAGCAGCAGTGTGGGTTGTAGAGAGGGCAGACCCAGACCCAGGCACTCCACCATACCGTCACCATATGGCCCTGGTTTCTCATGCAGCCCTCTCCATCGCTCTTCCCCTCTCCCAGGAATTCCTGTCATTTCTGCCAGATATAAGAGATAGAGAGCCAACTTGTGTGTGACAGAGAGATGATGCATTTGCAAGCACCATGACGAATGTGTCTATGAACGACAGCGGGAAGAGAAGAAATACCCACATGAAGGGTTTTAAATTAGGCTGGTATGCTCAAACAAGGGGGAGATAAAGGAAACGTATAGAACTAAACCGACTGCTTCCAGCCCAGTGGAAAGACCAACTGTGTGAAAGCCTGGGGACATGAAAGCCATACGCAAGAGATGCTTCTCTTGCATAAAACTAAATAATGAGTGTAAAGTAAAAACTCAAATTACTTCTTTGTAGCAGCATAAAAAAGGGTTCGTCTCAAATAAACAATCTGTTACTGGGTGAAACTAAGCACCTGTCAGCTGTTAAGGGGCTCTAATTCATATTTAGTAAAGCACCTACAGTATATGCTGAGTGCCATCTCACATCCCTGGTGGTGAGGCACATTGAAGAGGAGATGCCAGCCCTTCAGCTCTGAAACCATGGTGGCTGGCATTCAGCCAAAGCTGGTAATCTTGTGGTTAGTGATGTAGTGGAGGGCACGCTGCAAATATCAACTTGCTATGCAAAGGTAAAGTTATCACACTCAAAGGTACAATAGGCTAAACACCCTGTGGACTATAACCAACATGAGCAAGCTAATTATGGTAATGTACTCTAATGAGTTAGGTAACCCTGTAACAGATTCATCTTCAGTGACGGTATTCTTAGTAAGTCGGTTTTGAATGCAGCCTTATCCAAGCTTGCATAGATACATATTGAGTTGAAGGGGGTCCAGAAGTGTGTTCATGTATGGTTCAGTGCCACAGACTGTATATAAAAGATGGACATAGCTTGGAAAGTGAAATCAACATTCAAGTGCTGTAACTCTTTACCGTTTGGAAGCCTAATAGGAGTAACTCTTGAAGCTCTTTTCTAAACTGCACAGTTTCTATGACATTTCAGGCCAGCTTATAGAACAAAATGATTGGCTGTGACATCAGAAGTGAGCAAGGGTGATTCCTGTCTATGCAGCTACTATTGAAAATGATCTCATGGTCGTCAAACCACATTTTTATTGATATATACCAGGGGTGGGCAACTCCAGGCCTCGAGGGCCAGTGTCCTGCAGGTTTTTGATCTCACCCTCGGTCAAGACACCTGAATCAAATGATTAGTTCATTACCAGGCCTCTGGAGAACTTCAAGACATGTTGAGGAGGTATTTTAGCCATTTGAATCAGCTGTGTTGGATCAAGGACGCATCTAAAACCTGCAGCACACCGGCCCTCGAGTTGCCCAACCCTGATATATACTGAGGTGTTGTTAAGGGTACAAAGAAGAGACTGTGGGAAAAGAGCCCTGTGGTTCACTGTTCTGACCTCAGTAAACACCTTCTTGGTGACTTTATGATTATGGTCCCTATTAGTGTCCATAAAGACCATAAAATAAGGTTTGCTGCACCTAATGATTGCCAAGTCACTAGCATGTAGGCACACTCTATCCCTCCTTAGTCAAGCCCTCTCTTTATCACATGCTTAAATACCAAGATGGTACTGGGCAAAAGCTCAGAATGAGACTTCCCAATGATGTCATAGTGGCCATGTCCATCATTTATCTACAGGCTATCACCAATTCTTTGAAATTCAGATAAACACCAAAAAGCTTAAGAAGAGACCACATACGCGTGAAACTTATAGTTTTTTATTATTAATACTCAACACTTCATTTTGTTCATCATGTACAAAGAGAAAGAATAGTCTTATGTCAGCACTTATAATTGTAGATATCAGTATGATCCTTATTAGAAGTACCTTAATGATGTTTTTTTGCAACTTTGTCATGATGTGGTTAATTTTGTTATTGAGATTACTTTGTTTCCATAAAAAAAAAAGAAAATGAAGGTAAATATTTTCCCCAGTATTCAGTATATACACAACCTGTACAATTATTTGTTTTTGTGTGGTTTTTCTGTTTGTACGGTGTAAAAATTTTGGCATTGTTTCAAAGTAAAGGGCCACAAAAAGAGAAAAGAATGGCCAAGAATAATATTATGTATACAATTGATATTATTTCTATGTTACATTTTTTTTGTCACCCACAGTTAATTCAATCAGGCTATGTTTGTGATTTCATAAACCTGTTAACCTTGTGAAATACATTTGGTAGCAACCCCTTATGTCATCGGCAATTTTCACCCAGTTAGCGCGACCGATTCTCAATCTGTGAATGATGACGGTGGAAAATCGCAATATTAAAAACAAAACAAACTGTACACAGTTTCGTAGAAAGTTTTGTGTGCGTCAGTAAAAAGCGAGATCTGTAACACACATTAAGAGAGGCTTAAAATATTTTCTGTCATGAATAAGAATGAACAAATCACACGGACCTTCAGAATAAATCAGCTATATAACATCACAGTATAGTTCCTTCTGTCTGCACCGGGTGAAATCACACTTATTTATTACAAAATTAGCAGTTCAGAGTCAATTATGAAAGCTGGAAATATGAGAAACTTCTCAAATACCCTTTATCCAAAACATACACATAGAAAAAAAGAAGGGGAAAAAAAAGCATTTTCAACAAGTCAGATTAACCATTACATCGCTCCCTGCAGACGACTGTCAGGCTGGTATTTGGTCCCATGTGTCATTAATACTGACAAACCCCCCCCCCCCCCGTACACACGTCATCTGGGGTGATATTTACATCCTCCACTCTCAGGATGTTCCAGCCTGCTAATTTGCCCCCCCCCCAAAAAGGACAAGACAAGAAAAGGAAAAAAAAGGGGGAAAGTGCCAGTGTTTTCCCCTATGTGAACTATCTGAACAAATGTGTGCAGAGAGAAGGGAAGCTGGGAACAATTTGGCCTTAAGGGAAATAAAGGCTTCCAAATGAGCCCTGCTTACTCTGCAGCACAGACCGATCTGAAGCTGGAGGTGCTAAAGGTCTGATGATAGCATGCTCACCGCAGCGCCAGGTACACCTCCCAACCAGTGGTAGCAAACTAGTTACCCTCCAAATCCTGACAAAATGAAATGAAATAAAATAAAATGTGGCGTACAGTAAGAAGATTTTCTGTTTGGTCATGCTGTTTATTGCAAATGAGGAGAATAAGAAAAAAATCTGCAAACCTAACAGAGTCTATGTGCACACTGATACTTTTTTCACTTTTCAATCAAGCCCTCTAGAGATACAAAAAAAAAGGGGGGGCAAAACAGAAGAGAGATGAATTTCTCCTTTCGGGGCTGATGAGAAGATTATAGAGACTTATTGGCATCAGTACCATACAGAATAAGAGCGAGGAAATCGCTTCTGACTGTGTGAAAACAAGAAAAAAGAAGAAAAAACCCTGCATATGTACACAACAGATTACAAACGATACTTCCTTTCTCAAACAGACAAATACAAGGTGGCACACAAAACAAATCAGGATCCGAAGCATATGAGTTGTTTCCAGCTGTCAAGTAGCACAGTTGAGTAACAAGCGAGTGAAAACGGTGCAACGGCAGTTTATTCACCCATAGCAAAGAGAAAAGAACAAAGAAACCGCTGCACAGAGACATGACGGAAGAGATGTTTCACCTTTTAATAAGGGGTTGTACAAATGCATTTCAGCTTCACATAACTGAGATGAAACTGCACTCGTTCACGGTTTTCTCCACAAGATTGTGCCTAAATCCTCAGCAATATCACAATATCAACACTGGGGCAAGTCCAGTGTGCATTTGTGTGTGTGTGTGTGTGCATGTGTGTATCTTCCTTATTTACCACAGTGATGTCTATCCCAAACAGAGATATAACAGGATAGGCCGGACTGACAATGGCTCTAAATTCTGTGTGCAATCACCGTTAGAGCCCACATCGAAAAAGAAACGGGCAACAAAAACAAAACAAACAAAAAAAATCCACAAATGTTTTTTAGGAGGTTTTTTTTAAGTTTTTTTTTTTTTTTAACAAGGATCGCTGCTTAAAAATGAAGGATCACAATATACTGCCTCTATATGCAAATATCATCTCTGTATACATGTAATATTGTATTACATAAATGTGTAGATAATTGAATTGCGCTCGAAAAGCATGAAGAATAGCTTACCTTAAAAAGAGAGAATCTAACACAATCCAAGGGAAACTTAGCGAAGACTCCTAAAACTAAACTTTTCCCCTTTGTTTTTTTTTTCTGTTTTTTCTTCTTTTTTTTTTTCAAATCACCAAACGTCTACACCTACAGTAAAATTATCCTCTGACACTTTGAGTGAAAATAAGAGAAAAAAAAGGGGAAAAAAGCATAATTCTTAACATAATCAGTATACTGATTGGTAAACTATTATAATTAAGTAAACATGAGATCGAAAGAAAAAAAGAGCTTCAATTATATCACTTATGATTAGTAATATCTGTGTCTTAACTATATTTTGCATATTTTTGTTTGTGTGATTTTTTTTCAGTTTTTACGAGTTTTTATGTTTGTTTTCTTTATTTCTTAAATTGCTGTAAAACATATTGAAAGTTACATCCTGTCTGTCTGTTTACTGTACAAAGTGAAAAGATTTTTAAATATATTATTATTTACAAGGTAAAGATTTAACATACTAATGCTGACGCTGATTGATACCCACTGCAAAGTCTCCTTCTTCTTATTTCCTTGTCGAATCCCCCCCCCAACTCCCCGTTGGCCGTTCTCCTTCCTATACCAGCTTGCTTTTAATGGTTGACCTGAACTTTCAAAATGTGTGCATATAAAAATTCCAGAGATCCCAATCTGTTTATTAGGAGGGTGTGTGTGGGGGGCAGATGAGTCGGATTTAAGGCTAGCTCGATAAGTCTCGCTTTGACAGTGTGATCTGTGGAGCGAGGGATGAGGAAGAGGAGGAGGACAAGTTTTTGAATTTATGAATAGTTGTCAACAGAGTTAGTGTTTAAAAAAAGAACAGCTGTTATCACTCGATCCTGATTCGCTTCCCTCCACGCGTGTGCGCGTGCATATCCTCCCCAGTCCGTTCCACTGGTGCCTTAAGATATAGTGGTCGACAATGATAAAGATCACACTCCTCGGACCGGCGCTCCCCGCGCAATCTCCAGCAGCCCTTGAACTTTTTGACACCAACTAATCGAAGATCAGACCTTTAAAGAACTACCAGGGCTCCCTCTGTTCTGTACAGTAATGCGATGAGTCATCATCAGACAGCTCAGGGTGGGGGCGAGGGCAATGGGATGATAAGGCATGTCTACTGAGTGCCTGAACCTACACTGAGTAAAAAGTCCTGTCCAAGAAATTAGGCCTCTTCAGCTAAAAAGACTATGTACATCAGTCAAAGTAAAAAGCAATCAGCCAGTCTCTCAAATAGACATCTTCCTCTCTGCTCAAACTTCCATCAGCATTGTTGTCGCGGGACGGCAACACTCCTCCTACACATTTCTCTTTTCTTTTTGCAGCGTTTCGCCTACGTAAACGACAGCGCAAATATTAATCACACGTGATGTCCAAACAAAAGCTTACTGTGCGAGCCCCTCGGCCCGCTCAGCGAAAAGTAATGCCTTCGACAGGATACCGGTGAAGAGGCCGAGAAAAAGTTAAGTGCCTGATGACTGTCATTGTGTAACCTGAATAAAAACAAGTGTTCTAAAGGCTGCCAATGTTGTGAACTGAGACTCATCGGTCTATCCGTGACAATGGGACATCCTGAATACAGGTGGCTCATAAAACGCTGCCCACACTTGACATATGAAATACACTGTTTTACAAAGTTATAAAAGATCTTAAACGGTATCTTGTATCTAAACCACCACCAGCAGCAGCAGCACTGCCTCAAAGCCCGCTGTAAATCTTTGATTTTGTTTTACTGCAGTTTTGGCTCATAAATGTGACCCCAAGAACGCCGAGTGGCCTTTATGAAGCCTGCCGGTCCGTCCTGGTGGTGGCTGCTGCTGCGCGAGGGCCGCTTGTGAACTTGGAGGACACTTCCACCGGAGACCGTTAAGGCACGTCCTTCCTCCCAAGCATCCTCAGCTCCCGTCGGCACGTCATCGTTCAAAAGAACACAAGTTCAGACGGACAGAAACCGAACGTGTGTGCGCGCGTCTGTGCACTTGTGATGCCTTTAAATGTTAAGTGTCGTGTTTCTGCCGACTCCAAATACATCTTCAAGATCTTGTTTTTCTACAAGGAGCAAATAAATGCATGAACATGTAGTAAGAGCATTCTACAGAAAACCAAAAACAAATATTTCTTTTTTCAAATTTAAAAAAAATCAGTTTTTCTGGCTTGTTGGTTGAGCTGAGAACAACTTTCCTCCTGCCACTAGGGGCAGACAGACTGCAACCACAGATGCTAAAAACAGCAGTGAAAGATTTTACGGCGAGAACACAAAACAAGTAAAAACTTAGTGATATTATAAGCAGTGTTATTATAATCAGCACTAAACATCTCTGTTATTCACAACTGTATCAGTATTACTGTTGTTCTTATACCCTGTTATTTTTTTCTATAAGAATATCTTATTATCATTCATTGATTGTATTTCTCACAGCAAACAAGATCAGCTCTTTTGGCGTCGAGGATAAGGAGGAGGAGGAAAAGCATGGGGGGGTGTGGGGCGGAGAGAAAGAGGAGATATTGAGAACTGAAGTGCATTGCGAAAAGAGATGGACAGACAGGGCTGTCTCCGTCCTGACTGAGCGTGAGAAAGACGGGGAAGCAGCAGTCATCGTCCCGTGTCGCCGCTCCAGCAAACGTGACCCTATCTACTTTTTCTGCTGTGACACTGGGGCAGATGGGCAGTTCAATCCCGTCTCTGCTCTCGCTGTCCTTCCTCGTGAGCGCTCAGCAGGGAGCCTTTCAGACAGCCATGGAATCGCAGCAGGCTCGACACGTCCCATAGCAGACTATGAAGAGGTGTCGGCCTCGTCGCGACGCCGACCGAGTACACTGACTTCTGCCACACTGGTGGATGGAAAATGGTAGACTTGAGTTAAGGGGAGGATGTTTATTGACTGTGTTTGGACATAAAAGTAGAGTAGCTTTGGCCATTTCTGAGAGAAGGGGGCGATATCCCACACTTCCTCAGGGTGTCCTGATTTGTTTCCCATTATTTCTTGCAAAAATCAAAACTTCTACGCATTATTTTATATTTCAGTCTCCACCTTTCAGTCTTTTCCTCCTTTAATCCCTTACCTCCCCTCCTCCCAATCCTAACATCTCAATATGGGCTAGGGTTAAAGTGTGTCTACAGCGTCTTTAAAGTCATCCCTGATCTCCTAGAACTAGATGCGCCTCTATTGCTCTCCTCACTCCCCCCTCCTTCGCCTCCGCTCCTCCTCCCATATTTGTCTTTCACACGTCAGACTCAATGCTGGAGAGTTTCTCATACACATGGCCATTGCTTCCGTTGAAGGGACGCGGGGGTCCGACCCCCAGCATGGAACCGTGGTGGTTCATTCCACCGAGGCTGAGCTCTTTCGGGAACCGGGGCGTCGCGCTGGACATCACCCCGGCCGCCGTGGCAGATGTTGGCAGATACGAAGTTGCACTCATCTGGCTCCTGAAGTCACTTCGGCTGTTTTTGGCAACTTGTTGCTGCTGCTGTTGCTTTTTCATGTAATATTGTTTGGCGCCGTGCATCAGACACTGGTCATCGCCAAAAGTGGGTATAAAGGGGTTTTGGTTTACCCGGTCGGGGTAAAGTGATTTGGATAAAGAGAACCCTGCCCCGCCCCCTCCTTCCATCAAAGACCTGTCCCTGTCTCTCATGTCTCTTTCCCCTATTGAGCGGCGGTGGACACCTTCTCCGCCTCTGAAGAGGCCCGACCGGCTCTCACCTCCGTAAAACAATGGGTCCCTGTCTCTTTCCCTTTCCCTCTCGGAGCCCCCGTGGCGTTCAAACATGTGCGCAAAGGGGCTGCTGCCCTCCATGTAGCGTTCTTTTTCCTTCAAGCTAACACTTCTGGGTGGGGGCAGCATTCCACCCATGCCTGCACCGCTCATGCCCCCACCTCCTCCTAAGCCTCCCATCAAACTGCCCATCCCACCCAATTCGTCTTTCTGCAGGTCGACAAATGCGTCATACGAGTGCTGCCGCCGAAGTGGCTTACCGAAACCGCCGCTCTTCCGCCTCTGCTGTGCCTGAGATTGAGACTGAGGGCCTGCGCCCATGCCACCCCCTCCTCCCCCACCCGCCCCGCCCCCCATCTGTTCCAAAAGGTGGTTGTTGTCCTCGCTGATATCGTAGAGGTTTCCTGTCTTTTTACAGCCTTCACAACGCATGCAGGTTGCGGAGCTGGGACGACTGCCTCCCCCTCCCGAGGACCCACAACTCATGCCGCCACCATAGCCACCTCCATGCAATGACATCTGCTTGCTCCCCAGTCCCCCACTAGCCCGACAGTTCCTGCACTCCCACTCTCCCCCAGCCAATCCAGAACCTCCCCCGCTCTTTGAATCAGACTTCTTGGGTTTGCTCTGAAGAAAGTCATCCACTGGTACCAGGGAGGTGCAGGTACTTACTCCTCCATCTCTGTTCCCAGGACCCTCAGTCAAGTCCACGTGTTCCCACTGAGGGACACCATCTTTGGGCCGAAACTGGTCCAAATAAAAATCTCTAACGCTCTCCTTTTCTCTGAAAAGATAAGAGTTCCCATCATTGTTCCCTCCTCCACCTCCCCCGCTTCCTCCGCCACCCCTCTTGCGTTCAGAGGGCAGCAGCGGTGGGGAACCAGAGCGGTGCCCGTGATAGTGGTGGTGACTGATGTGGTAAGGTTTCCTCCTGTAGCCCAGCTCAATCTCGTCTAGCTCCCGTCTGGACTTGGCAGAAGCCGGCCTCTTCTTCAGGCTGTCCCGGTACTGTTTGCGCTTTTTGGCGTTACCCTCCAGGTTTCCGTACGTTACCGTGTGCGTGGAAATGTCTGACACATCTGAGCGTATATTCCCATCATCATCTCCTCTCCCTGGACAATAGCTATGTCCAGGGATGTAAGTGGAACTCGAGGCACCTCCTTTGAAGGAGAATTTCCCATATAGGTCGGGCAGGCCTCCCTTGAAGCTCTGGCCCGAGGGAGGAGTCTGTCCGGACAGCAGGTCAAACTTGCTCATGTTCCTGTGGGTCAGTGCTGAACAGGGCTGAGTGGTAAAAATAGGGGTCACCCCTCCACCCAGGCTGTCACAGTCAAACATGCCGCCCTCCAAAGAACTAGCGCTACCCAAACTATGGGGTCTGTTGGGAGGAGGTCCGCTAAGCCCTAAAGTTGAACCATGGTGGTGTAGATAATGGTCCTGATACAAATTGCTGTCCTTAAGATGCAGGTTGCTAAACGTCCTCTCCACCTCACTGATGTAGTCGCTAAACATGTTGTCTTCTGGCATGTAGGGTGGCTTGCAGTCAGAGTGGCCCGCCAAGCTGCGCCGATGTTCGGAGATGTCGTAAACAGAAGATTCACGACGGATGAAGTCCAAAGCGCTGTGTGGTGAGCCGTTCACCCCTGACAGGGACGCCATGTTCTTGGCTGTCCGTAGGAGCCGCATGATGTTCGAATGGGTGTTGTTCATGGTGGCTGATGGCGAGTTCAATGCAGAGCTGCTTTTCTCCTCAATCTGCACCCCATGAATACAGCTGTAAATGCCCTGTGTGGGAGAAAAACAGGTGAGAGGAGGCATTAAAGGGTGCACATTTCAAACATTTGTTATTTGACACTGCAAAATCCTTCTCCTCACATATAAGGTCTTAAATAATCAGGCCTTATCTTATCTTACAGACCTAATAGTATCACCCCAATGGAGCACTTCGCTCTTGTACTGCAGGCTTACTTGTGGTTCCCAGAGTATTTAAAAGTTGAATGGGAGCTTTCAGCTTTAAGGCCTGTCTTCTGTGCAACCAGCTTCCAGTCTGGATTCAGGAGACAGACACTATCTCTACTTTTAAGATTAGACTTAAAACTTTTCTTTTTGATAAAGCATATATTTAGGGCTGGATCAGGTGACCCTACATCTTCCCTTAGTTAGGCTGCAATAGGCCTAGGCTGCGGGGGAGGGGGCTTCCCATAATGCACTTCCTCACTCATTTCTTTTCACTCACACTGTTTATATGCCAGTCTGCAGTTAATCATTCGTTATTATTAATCTTTGGCTCTTTTCAACAGTGCGTTTTTTATCCTGTCTCCCTCCCCTTCCTGTCAAAAGGGAGTTTTTCTTTCCCATTGTCGCCAAGTGCTTGCTCGTCTGATTGTTGGTTTTTCTCTGTATTATAGTACGATCTTTACCTTACAGCATAAAGGTGATATGTAAATAAAATTGAACTGGACTTAACTGAATTGAATTGTAACACAAGCCAACAGAGGTGTTTTGGCCACAGTGTCCACCCATCCATCCCACATATCTGACAGAAGCGATAAAGTTTTACATCAGTCAATCCAGGTTGTCTACATAGACCAGGTAACCAAGGGCACTAGATTTATGATTTATTTTAAAGATGGGGGGTGAAGCTACCTGGAGAGGACAGGACAGGCCTCACGACTGAAAAACACACAAACCCACCAGCAATCAGTCAATCTTATTTAATGTCGTATTTTATGTCATCTCTTCACAGTGGGTACAAAACTGGAAATGCACTGATATGATTCAAAATTTATGTTTCGTGGTAGTTAATGGCACAGAAACACAACCAATGACATCAGATGTGTCGTCTCATAAAAAAGATGAAGGGGAAAAAAAGAGCCGGTGTGTTTAATGAAAAACTTTGAGACGGCAAAGCAAGCAAACATAAAAAAAACGCTACGGCTTTCGGTATCGATTCTGTCAACACCTCGCTGTATGCGGTAAGGGAAATAGATGTCCTTTATATACAGAAATGTGGCATATTCACTGATGTGAAATAAAGTGGGGCAGTGCGAGTGCGCAAACAGTGTGAAGATTCAGAGAGGATAGTGTACCTTGATGGGTGATGATTGATAAAGGCCAAGTGGCTGGAAGAACTCCTCGGACCCCGCCAATCAATACTTTTACTCAATGTGATTAGAATTCAGCTGAACAATATCCTTCGGCAGTTATTAGGGATGAAGAGAAAGGCCAAGCCAAGGAGACACTAGCTGAGCATCATAGTGACAGAAAGACAAACTGCTCCATTTGCATCCAGTGATCTACGATACAATATTCAGATAAAAATGGATGTACAGCAGAGCGCAAACCAGGCTTGACAGATGGGGACTGTAAAGTATCGGATCAATTCCCGACAATGATTTTACTCATTTTTTTCCCTGCAGATGACAACGGGAACCACTGTTAGAGATCAAAGATCATCCCATTGCAGAGGTCAAGGTCCCGTCATAAGGCGAAGTCTGTCTTGGATGTCAGATCTTCTTCTTCTCCTCCTTTTACCCAACAATATCATCACCTGAGCCTGACTTTTCCTTTCCCAAGCCACTTGTTTCTAGTAATTAATTAGTTACATGGACAGTGGCTGCATTGCAGCAGAAAGGCTTCATCCCTCATTCTTCTTTTTAAATAATGTTATTACTTCTTTTAATTTCACAGTCGGTTAACAGCCAAGTACGCAAAGCTTGACAGTGGCTAAAACTAAGAGGTTAATATAAATACAAAATGACTCAACAGTATTCAGGAAAGCGCACACGCCCACCTTTGTGAAATTCCTCTTTTCTTTTCCCCCAACTCAGAACCATCTTTTAATGTTTATCCGGTCCTTCTCCATGTCATCTGTGTTTCCTTTTTTCCATCTGGCTGTTTGTATAATTAGTCATCCCTTCATCGCTTTTGTTTTTCTTATTTTATTGTTCTGATTACACCCCACCTGCTGCCGAATCTGTCACATCCTCCCTCCCGTGACATCTATGATATAATCAACTTTTGGGAAGATTTTTTTTCTGCGACATTCAGCTTAATTTGCCGGCAAGCTTCCCTCATTAGCACTTAACCTGATAGCGGAGGGTAAAATTAACATTGAAACGATTTACAGGGCGAGATCGAGATAAATATTTGCACTTTTTTTTTTACATTTCTTTTATGCATGAATAAGCAGTAGCAACCAGTCAGAGAAAGAATGAGAAGCATTGAGTCTAGGACGAGACTGCATGCTTAATCTTCACCAGCAGATTTTGTCTACTCTGCAGGCCCACATAAAGTAACAGTTGGCAGGGCTGGTTCCACAGTAGCTGATTGTTTGGTCAGGATGTGTAAAAGAAATAACGGCGGCCAGAGAACTCCTCAGAATCCAAGGTATCACATCAAAATCTATAAGAGCTCCTGATTGCAAATAGAACAGCGTCTGAACAGGTAGCGGCGTATAATTTAATACAGCCTGAGCGTGCTGTAAGCATGTGTTCCTTAATGCAAACGAACTTAGCCATGACGCGATCTGAGGCCTGTGAAAAGTGGAGCGATTAAACCTCTAATACATTTACAGTTCTTAAGTCATTAGAGGCTTTTAAATCAATATAATTAATTTGTTTCAGTGATCCAGGTGGGACCTGGAGGAGCAGGTAGCCGGGGGGAGAACTGCTCACAGATCTGCCGAGGGGGGAGCGCTAACCGACCGTGAAGCCATGACCGGAGCCACGTGACTCACACCAGCCGTGGCAGATGTCTCATTTTTTACACCGCCGAGCTTAAATGTTAATTGCTGCAATAACAATAAGGTTTATTGGATTATGCTGTGAAATTAAAAAAGCGGAATCAATCGGAGTGGCAGCGTAAGAGAGGAAAAAGAGGGAAGAGAAAGCACACGGCTGGAGAGAAAACACTCAAGTAAATGAGAAGGAGACAATGCGACGTCTTGGCCAAAAGATAATAAACAGCAGCTTCCACTGTTCCACAATTCCCGTGATCTGTGCTACACATGCAAATCGACGCTCCCAATGAATATTTCCCCTGAATATTTTAACATGCTGAATCATCTGGCTGTATTTGCGGACACACAGCGTTCATTTATTTTGTCACATCGCAGCAAAGACGCCGGTAATTTCTGTAAATGAGAGCAATCGCTGAATGTTACACAAAGCATAATTGGTCTCTGATCCGGTTCCCATACAAATTGTAATGATGCAATAATGAACAACAACAACCAGCCTGTCTATGGAAAGGAGAAATCGGCTGACATTTTAGCAACAAGTATGCCATGCTCGTTCTACAAAAAAACAGACACGGACAGGCGTAAACGACGCTACAGCACAGGCGCAAAATTAACACCACACAAAATAATCAAAGTTGAGCACTGGAGCGGAATATGAGAGCAAGGAGGGGTAGTTTTTTCTACTTTTTTTTAAAATACAAAGCCTTGTTTTCTTGGCACAAGCCGACCCAGCACCACAACAGCATATCAAATGGAGGCGGAAAGCAGCAGTGTGTGGCTTCTCTGCTGTAAATTAGCCACGTGGTTTAGCATGCAGTGTTTCACCTTCACAGGCGCACAGTGAATTACACCGGAGCCATGTCAAAACAATTGGAATGCAAATCAAATACCTTGGGGGTGACTTTGGTCTCCTGGGACCTGGTAATCTACCCTCTCCGGTTCCGTGGCTGATTTTTTGTTGAGTGAAGTATTGATTTCAGCTCAGCATTTTGTAAATATTTACCTCATGGGCATCAGAAAGGCCAAGGCATCAAAAGTAAAGGAGAAAGCTCTCTCTATATGTGTGTGTGTACTTTGGCAGCGGTAGTTTGATTTGGGTAAGTGGAATGCATCTTTGAATTTTTAGAATCTCTTAGGCCTTAAAGAGTAAAGCACCTTCATTTGTGAGCCATTAGAGACAGTAATGAAGTAATGAGTAATGATGGTGACTTCACAGACGAGGACGATTCAGTTACGCAGAGGTTAATTTGAATTATAGCCAGCTGGATGTCTTGTACCACCTACTTTAGAGCAGCCTTTCCACGACCAAATAACTGTACTGTTTTGGCTGCTGTCATTCATACCTGTGAGCTGACAATAATAATTATTACAATGAAGAAAATTGTGGAAACTGTTATCACTAGTCGCTAAGCCTTCAAGAGGTACTAGTCATTTAATCTAATTGTTTACATTTTAATTGATGCACAATACCAGTAAATTGTTGTGTCCAATATATTATGCAGCCATCTGCCACTAGATGGAGCTGCACCCCCGACATCGTTGTAAAAAACTTAAAACTCTGTTAATTGAGGCCTTATATTGTAAGTTAAGCATATTGTTGTATTATTGCCTTGTTGCCAATACAAGCTAAGGGCTCAGTTACATGGGCCTAGAGACTGGTTGGCAACCATCTAGCAACCACAGGGAAAAAATGTATATTTCCCAACTTTTAGGCAATTGCTTGCTGGCTGTTGTTGGGTGAAATAAGTGGCAAAAAGGGCGCTACACCAAACTGTGAGGAATTTTTGAGTTATTTTTGACCAGAATATGTCCCTCTGTGTTCTTATATAGCGAACGAATATCCATTTGTGCAGTTTCTCTAAAATTAGAAATATCCTGTCTCATATTGATGCTCAGAAGCTAGTTCATATATTTATTACTTCTAGGGTGAATGTTGCGATTTATTATTATAGGGAAATCCTAAAAACTCCCTGAAAAGCTGTCAGTTGATCCAAACGCTGCACCTTGAGTACTGACAGGAACTAGAAAGACAGCATGTTTCTCCCACACTGGCTTCTCTTCACTGGCTTCCTTTTAAATCTAGAATTAGTTTAAAATCCTTCTCCTCACTTAAAAAGTTTTTATCAGACTCTATCTTATCTTAAGGGCGTCAAAGTATCTTTGACCCCAATAAAGCACTTCCCTCTTCCCAGGCTTACTTGTGGTTTCTAAAGTATTTAAAAGTAGAATGGGAGGCAGAGGGTTCAGTTTTTATTTATTTATTTATTTATTTATTTATTTATTTATTTCACACTTTGTACAACAGTTTCCACAGCTAGTTCTTTCAGATAAACCAACCACATTTTCTATCAGTAAAGCACTGCAACCATGTGTGAAAAGGAGCAGTAGGAAGAAAATATTCTTATTAAACCCTGCCCCCTATCTACAATCCAACTTATATTGTAAGTCGGCACCAAAAATCAAGGAACAAACTAACATTAACACTTATTTCAAGTCCTAACTCAAACCAAACAACAAATTTACAATCAGAATATACCACTCCACATAGTAACAAGGAGAAAAGATAAGTAAATAAAATAAATGAGGCAAAAAAATAATGGATCTTTTTTCTATTAACACCAATTTTATTCACATTCTTCATATTGAGTTATCGTTTTAGACATGTAACACTTTTTAAAACAATGTAAATTTATACAATTCTTTAAATTATAATGAAGAGAGTTCCACAGTCGTATACCCCTAACCGTTGGACTCATTAATCTTTGTGTAGTCCTAGCTAGCTGATGCTTAAAATAAAATTTCCTTCTGCTATCTTCTCCCCCCGAACACGTTAAAAAGACTCTTTGTAACTTAAAAGGCAAAATATTATTTTTAGCCTTAAACATAATTAATAGTGTCCGTAGTTTCACCAAATCTCCTAATTTTAATAATTTGGATTTTATAAATAATTTATTTGTATGTTCTCTATATTTAACGTTATGAATCATTCGTATCACTTTCTTCTGTAATAAGTTTAGAGGTTTTATATTATATCCTCATATGTATTCCCCCAAACTTCGACACAGTAACTAAAGTATGAGAAAAACAATGAAAAATATAAAATGTGCATTGTTTTGTAATCTAATAAATGTCTTACATTTCCCAAACTATAAATGTCTTTAACCATCTTCTTTCTAATATACTCAATATGTGATTTCCACGTCAAATTTTCATCTACTATTACACCCAAAAAGCGAAATTCAGTAACTCTTTCAATCAATTCTCCATTAATGGACATAATGACTTCTTCCTCCTTTACACGATTGCCAAATATCATGAATTTCGTTTTTGTCAGATTCAAATATAATTTATTTACATCAAACCATTTTTTTAATCTTAACATCTAAGAAATCATAATTTCAACCAAATCTTTCAAATTCACTCCTGAGCAGAGATGGGCAGTAACGCGTTACTTGTAACGCGTTACTGTAATCTGATTACTTTTTTCAAGTAACGAGTAAAGTAAGGGATTACTATTGCAAAATCGGTAATTAGATTACCGTTACTTTCCCGTAGGAACGCTGCGTTACTGCGTTACTAAAACCGTGATTTTTTTGCGAGAATGTCTCATGACAGTGACGTAAGCAAGTGCGACGTTGGTGACAGCAGCTGTGTGCAGATCAACAATGGATAATATATCGAGTGCGGGAGAGAGTATGAGCGTGCAGCGTTTAAAGTGTGGAAGTACTGACCTTACTTTGAGTTTGATTCCATAAAAAGTGACAAAAACATTAGCGTCCATCGTGCGTGGGAAGAAAACTTCTTTTTACAGCGAAAAAAACCCCTAAACTTCCGAGCAAGCACCCGAGTAGCTACGACGTGATGGGAAACTCACAGAGACAGTCGCGCGGATTCTTCAACTGACCGCAGCACACCTGCACCAGGGTAACCCTCCGCCTACCCTGCTCCTGCTTTACAGGTGAAAATAGAGCAAAAGGACCGCTGAGTCTTTGACTTTATTTTCTGCTGTGTTTTACTTGCATCTGTTTGAAAGAGTGAGTGAAAACACAAAAAATATTTTATTTTATGTGCTGGAATGTGTAGAAAATAGGTTTAAATGTTAAACTAATTTATTCAAGTCAGAGAATGTTGCATATAATTAAATGTTTTGCTTGATGCATAAAGTTAAAAGATTAAAACTGATAAAACAAGTTTTAAAAAGAGACTTTTCCATTTGATTACATTTTGTATGATGGAGTATGTAGAAAAAGTAGAATTGGGCTGAAAGATCTATCACTTTATCACCTCTTCAGGTTGTAAATCGTGTTTTTAAAAAGTAACTAAGTAACTAAGTAACTAAGTAATTAATTACTTTTTAAAATAAGTAATCAGTAAAGTAACGGGATTACTTTTTTGGGGGAGTAATCAGTAATTAGTTACTGATTACTTTTTTCAAGTAACTTGACCAACACTGCTCCTGAGCAATAAAAATTTGTGTCATCTGCAAATAAAATAAAACTTAACCTTTTTGATACGTCACAGATATCATTAATATATAAATTAAAAAGTTTAGGTCCCAAAGTAGAACCTTGAGGAACGCCACATACAATCTTCAATCTTTCAGAAGTATTGCCGAGATAATGTACATATTGCGACCTATTTTCTAAATAACTCCTTAACCAATTCAATGCCACTCCTCTCATACCATAATTATACAATTTAGAAATCAAAATAGAATGTTGTAACGTGTCAAAAGCTTTTTTTAAATCAACGAATACCCCAACTGTGTATTTATTATTATGGGTTGCAGATGAAATATCGTCAATGAAAGTCAACAATGTTAATGCCGTTGATCTATTTTTACAAAATCCAAATTGATTTTCATTTATTAGTTGATTTTTTTCAATAAAACTATCAAGTCTTTGCGCAAAAGGTTTTTCAAGCACTTTTGAAAACTGTGACAAAGAGACACTGGCCTATAGTTGTTAAAACTATGCTTATCTCCTGATTTATATAAGGGTATCACTTTTGCCACTTTCATTCGATCAGGAAATATTCCTGATTGTAACGAGAGATTAAAAATATAGCAAAGAGGAATACTTATACAGCCTAAAGTCTTTTTAATTATAACCATGTCTATACCATCACAGTCAGTAGTTTTTTTTATTTTTAAAGTTTTCTACAATTGCTACTATTTCTTTTATGGTAATATCAGCTAAGAATATAGAATTAAGCACTCTACTTTCTCCTTTCTAGACTTTCTCATATTCTGGGTCGTCATTTTTTCTAATTAAATTTGCTAAAGTGGGTCCAACATTTACAAAAAAGGAATTTAATTCGTTTGCTACTTCAGTCTTGTCATCAACAACTTGATTATTCTTAATGAAATAAATAGGCCGATCTGAGGGTGTGTTCTTGTTACCCAATACTTCTTTAAAAATATTCCAAATGCCCTTAATATTATTCTTGTTTTCCTGAAAAAGTTTATTATAATAGTCTTTCTTGGCTTTTCTCAATATCTTCTGTGGAACCAGCTCCGAGTTTGGATTTGGGAAAGAGACACCCTCTCTGCTTTTAAAATTAGGCTTAAAACTTTCCACTATGGGTGACCAAAGCAATTGTAAATGGGTTTTTGATGCAACACTGTATACTGTAACTAATTCTACCAAGCGACAGAAAGCAACATCCCACAACTGCTGGCCAGTCGGTTAGGGAATACACATTTTTTCCTAGTGACCAGTGGTTACCAGGGGCTTTAGGTCAGCATTCCCCAAACCCCGGGCAACGGACCCGTACCGGTCTGTGAGCCGTTTGGTACTGGGCCGCGAGATTTGAGGCTCAGGAGTGAAATTTATGGTTTTCAGGGTTTTTATCGTTAACTTGGTTTACCTGAGAGAGGAGGACGTTACTCTCAATGTTGCTGGTGCATTTCAGGAGGACGCTGCTAATAAAGTTACACAATTACACAGTGAATTCACGTTTATTATTATATTTACAACATATCACAGTTTTTGTCTTGGTTATATCATTTTACTTTGTTGTATTTATCCTCCGACACCTTAAAGGCCGTTCTGTGAAAATATTGGCTGACATTAAACCGGTCCGTGGCGCAAAAGAGGTCAGGGACCACTGCTTTAGATGACTTAGCTTTAGCAATAGATTTTACAGCAACTACCATCTACCACTTGCAACCAGTCAAGGTTGCCAACAGGTCTCTAGGCCTGTGTAACTAGCCCTAACTCAGAATATTTGATTTATTTTTAATATTTTTTGGGGCCCTTTTATGGCTTTCTTTTTGATATAAACAGTGAAGACTGATAAGAAAGCGGAAGACATGCGGCCGCAGCCCTTTGCTATGCGGCATATGGTTGCCTGCTCATTACAGTGAGCTAAACCAGCACCCCAACTCACAATGTTTACTACATAAGTAAATATGTAGCAATGATACGAAGGGTACAACATGAAATACACATACTGAAGTATCTGAATTGAAAAATTGTGTATTTGATGGTACTCCAACATGCAGCTATTATCTTATTTGGATAGCTAGGGTCAAAGTATTAACAAAGAGCCTTTTCTTGCTATAATAGCCCACTTTTCCCCACCCTTTCTCACCCTGCTGATTGAGAAGACGAAGCCGGGCTGGCCGGAGCAGACGCCCATGAAGCAGAAGCGCAGCTGCCAGTAGAACCAGTGTTCACAGATGAAGGTAATGAGTGAAAGAGCCATGGCAGCACCTAGCATGTAGAAAACGCCAGCCATGTTGTCCACATCCAGCTGGCTGGACATCACCTCATTCTTCTCATGGTGGCAGATCCCTGTCAGCCAGAGGGACTCCAGCTCCTCCATCTCACCTGGACAGAGGTATTGGCATGAGGTTTTGGGAAGAAGACGAAGGGAGGGAGAAAGTGACAGGACGAAGGAAGAAACAGATGGTGAGAAGAGATGGACGAGGAGCAGGCCAACAAGGAGGGGATTGGATGGAGGTGAGACAGGAGGGGCGTACGTGGACGGACAAGAGAAGAAGAAGGAGGGCACAGTGAGGATATGTGGGGGAAGTGTTTTTATGTTTGAGATGTGGAATTGAAGTAAAGAAAGGAGTGTGAAAAAGAGGGAATGGAAGTATTATATAAAGTAGAGAAGAGGGACATGATGTAATAACAAGATGGGTATTGGAGGACATGAGGGATGGAGAAAATGATGCAACAGAAGAAGAGAAGACGGAAGATGGCGGGCAGAAGAGAAAAGGGGGGTCAGGGTGGTTAGAAGTGAAATACAGATCTTAAATTCTGCAGCAGCTTCACAGCAGACAGAGGAAGAGCAAAACACACATGCCACCAGTCACATGTTAATCACATTAGTCTTATTTGCATTGTTTTCTCCAAATAATTGCATATATAGGTATCTGGTATGCATCTGACGCTAGTCCCCGAGCTTGTGCTTGTTTTTGTGGGTCACCTTCTGTTTCATCACGAGCTGTTCTCTATCAAAGCTGACTGTGGCAGGACAGGCGTCGGTTAATTAATCATACATTCAGCCGCTGTCGCTCCACGTCAGCGCAACTCCACCAACACACAGCCCAGCCTGGCCTCTGAGCATCAACAAGCGTCTCCGCAGCATGTAAACGTAAAAAAAAGAGGCACTGCACACAAAGGCATAAATACAGATACATCACCCAGCTGCCTCTACTTATATCTACTGATAAACAGTAACTGGAACCCTTGTGCAGCTATTCTGACAGTGGCATCTCTAGTTAGGGCTGTCTCCTGGGAGTCAGTATGCCACTTTGTCATTAGTTTTCATTTAGCGCTGATTTTAGTGGGAAAACCTGCTCATCTTTTTGTTGTTCAATGGACATCAGAGAATACAGAGTGAGAGGAGACAACAACTGTAGTTGACTGGCTTAAAATCCAGGACACGGTTACAGTGTTTCACACTCTCATACAGAAACTGTCCTCCTTTCACACGGATAAGACTGAGACTAAGACACTATTTAATAGATCTTTTACTGAGTCTGTTTTATCTTTTCCTTGGTATCATGGTACGGTAACCTATCTCTGAAGGACAGAAACAAAGTGATGCAAATTGTGAACTGGTTAGGGAAGCTGCGAGGTACATCACAGCTCAACTTAGAGTCTCTGTATACCAGACAGCTGCAGAGAAGGACCAGCTCCATCTTAAATAATGACTCCCACCCCTTTTGTTGGGATATTCAGCTTCTTCCCTTTGGACAGAAGTTTGTAGTCCTTAAATGCAGGAGAAAGCATTAGAGAAACGACTTTGTCTTAGTTGATATTCTTTATTAAACGATAGCAAATTTGCTTATATGCCTTTTTTTTTTTACTATTTTTACTGGAACACTCTCACTTTTTTCCCTTTTATTTTTCTTATTGTGTCTATGTTACAATTGTCCAGTATTGGCGTTTGATGTCTGGTAGAAGGGTTGCCTGCACTTTGAACTGCAAAACAAATTTACCTATGGGTATCAATAAAGGAACCTGAGCCTAAGTGTTTGTTCAGGACTTGTAAGGAGTGTTAATAAAGGTTAATGTAACTGACAGCTTTTTGACTTCAACTTTCCTCCAGTCCTCCAAACCCCTCCCTACAAATCCCTCTAAACATTCAACTCAAGATTCATTAACATCTCTAGGAGCCTTTAGCACTGCTGAGCGATACTGCAAATTTTGGTATCGATCCAATATCAAGTGAATTAAGGGCAGTATTGCCGATGTCAATACCGATACTTTTAACCTATAAAAGAGTGTCATGATTTATGAGCTGAATCGTCGTTGATTTGCCAAATTCTGAAGAGATTTTAATGAACATCAAATGACAGTGTTGTGATTTTGTTCTTATATATTGGTACTGGTTTTTTTTAAGAGAGCTGGAATGTAAATGTGCCTGTCTTTAAAGGCCTTTGTGTCAGCTTCAGTTGTTTAAATGTGCTATAGGCTAAAAAGAATTGATGTAACAGTGAACAGAAAAAAGTTCAGACATTTTTCATAGTGCATGTTTGGGGTATATTTTTTTATTATAAAAAATGCTAATAAAAATCTATTCAACACAATTTATACTGAACTATGAGGATAGAAACAAAGTATCGATCCAATTGCATTAGTATCGATCTAATACCGATACCAGTGTTGGTATTGATACTATCAAAATTTGGATCGATCAGCCCACCTCTAGCCTGTACATGAATCTCATGACTCATGTCACCTGCTCCTGACTCAGATGAAAATGATAGCTATCTCTGCTTAATGATCAAGTCCATGACATGAGACTGCAAAATCAAGTGAGTGGAATTTCAGTTGTCTAGGTCTATTCAAGTGGATTTTCACTGTTTGGTTTAGTTATTTAATGACTCAGTCACACTAAAATAAAAATTGGCCAACAAACGCCTTACAACTAGGAAAAAAAATTGGTGGTTGCCTGGTGACGGAAATGCTTTATTTATTTATTTGCATTTTGCATTTGGCAATTGAAGATGTTGCCGCAGCAAACTATTTCCTACTGGTTGATGATGTTGCACACTCAACCTCTGGGGAACCAGAGGTCTTTTCCAATGGGGGACTCAACTCCTTAACTCAGCTGGTTGCTATATTTTGGTTATAGTATTATAAATAAATAAAAAAAGCAAGGTTGCCGCTACATAATCGAATTAAATCATCAACCTCCAGCAACTATCTCAAAATTTGAGGTTACGAGGTTCTTGCTAGACTTAGGTAGTTAATCTGAACTTTTATTTCAGAATTTATATCTATGTATATGGCAACGATTTGTGATTTTTACTGATTTATTACAGTTTATTGCCATATTGCCATAAACAGATTGCATGCAACTAAGAGACCAACTAGGTCTTATTTATGTCTCGAAGCAGCAAAGTTACATAGAAGTTGGCAACTGACTGCGAGTGGTTGCAAACCAGGTCCCCATCTTCGAAAGCAAAAAGAAAATTTCAAAAAGCAATGAGATCACAGTTAATTGCACATGTTCTAATAACTTCGGTCATGCCGCGGTCTCCCAACAACTGCTTTCCCTAGTGTGACCGTAGCATAACCAATCTGCTGTAACTCTGAGGGAATGCTAGACTTCTACACTTTAAAGCAGCATTACAACATTTTTTGAAACATGGTTTTTTTTTGTGGGAGCAGAGAGTTACACGTCAAAGTCAGTCGTTTCTTTGATTTTTGTATGATATAAGATAAGCTAATAGTTTAGCTAGTAGCTTAGTTAGTAGCTTAGCATAATCTGTTTGTTTAATCTCCAGAAAACATTAAATTGCAATTTTATGCCACGTAATGAGCCAATACTGTAAATGATTAAAATGCAGACTAAATATCTGAGTTGGCTCTATCGTCTCATCTAAGCCAGAAACTACATCTTTAACTTCTATGGAGCTTTGCTATGTGATAAACAAAATACAGACATCTTTCCTATTCTTAATTTTAGTCACTGTCTAAAATCTAACAACCTTGTTACAAAATGTCATATAAAATCTTAAAGAAGTATATTTTATGACGGAATAAGAAGTAACTATTACATCACCGATGCCCGGTATCTCTGTAATGATGCAACAGGTCTTTCACTGATTTCAAGGGCAAAAAGTTCATCAGAAGCAAACGAATGATTCCGTTTAAAAGTGAAACAGGAAATTTTGCAGTTTAACTTTCAGGACAGCTGTGATATATTTTTTGCTCAGGCCTGCGTCAAACTACCCCGACTCTCTTCCAGCCTGCATATCAGGCCACTGCGCTCGCCGCTTGAGTCTGATCACTTTCTAGGCCACCAGGAGGGGAGTGGATGGCGAGGCGTGGTAAAGTGACATTGAAATCCTGAGAGGGGCCAGACAGGGCCGCTCAGTTTCTGTATTAATGCTTTTGCAGTGGCACACGGGGATGTTACAGCGAGCCGACCCACATTCACATTTGCAAGCACACACATAAATTACTCTCAACTAAGTTCGACGGGTTATTAAGTTAATTCTACGACTAACCTAACTGATCATCAATAAGCAACAAGCACACAAAAGACTCTTCCTGAATCGCATGTAGGTTGATAAAAATAAACCTGTGTCATAAATAATCAGAATCTCTACACTGCTTTTACTTTGTAGCCCATTGCACGCACACACACACACACACACACACACACACACACACACACACACACACACACAGGCAGGCACTCATTTTTGGAGGGCTGACCCATATTTACATGTGCACGCAAACACACACACACACAAACCCGCACACTAATGCACACACGGTTTAGAAATACACCAGGAGCTATGTTGGCACCTCTAACTGGGACACACTATAGCAGGCCCCTGAGGGCCCTTGGCTCAGGATGCTCACAACACTCTGGACCGTGCCCAAATAAACTAGCTACACCACACGCACTTGAACCTACACACACACAGACACACACAAAACTTCCATTACACTTCCCATACTGAATTAACTGTATATCAAAACCAGGCTGTTAAAGTGGTTAAACTTCACAACTAGCCATTGTTGGTGACGTTTTAATTTGTGCGTGACGAAGAGCTCAAAAATGAACATTTGGAACGCATTTTATTTCCTGCTCATTCACAGACTCATTAATGCTGCAGCTACAGCTGGGACAAAGTGTGTCTCTAAAGAACAAACCCCGGAGAGCTTTGCACAGTCTCCCATAAACGGCAAACATGATCATAAACCACCAGCTTCCCACAGTGGGGGCTAAATTTCAACTTGTATTCCTAACGTTTTACTTTTTCACTCTGCATTTGAGATACAATATGTGGGAGTGGACTTACAGTACATTTGACTCGCAGAGCAAAGCAGACGCACAAGAAAAAGTATGATTTTTATCCTAGCTCTCTCCAAAATCCTTTCCTGAACAGATGGGAGTGGGTGAGATCAACAATTTTACAGTCTGAGAGAGATTTTTTTTTCTTGCATGAGTGAAGGGAAGGGATTTCAAACATTCATGAAAATACTATATTTCACGCTAATACAGTCCAGACTGTAAGTATATAGACAGTTACACATTTCTTAGTCTTCAGGCTCTGTGCCTCACTAGTGATACAGAAAGAACTGTGTGTGAGATATAGCTCTTCTATCACACAGTGCCAGAATTGTAGCAGTTTTAAAACGAAATTGGCTTTTCTTTTTTTGGGGGTGTGGAAGAGTTCACATGAGGCTCGTAGCTAATTCAGTTACCATTTAGTTTGAGTGGGAGCACCCTGGCAATATGCAGAGCAAAGAGTCAGCCGAGCAAGTGAAGAAGATAAGAAATTATTAGAGCCGTATCAAAGCTAGTTGGTTTGCCAAAATCAACAGTTGGGTTCATAGTCAAAAGCAAAAGCAAACAAAAAAGAACGCCTGGTAGACGGAAAGGAGCACATGGCAAGAAAAATCTCAGTATAACAGCACAGCAAGTCAAGAATGCTGTTGAGGATTGAAAGTCTATTAGTTTAACCTCAGTGGATTCACCGCCGCCAAACTCATGAGAGAAAAATCAAGAGAGGAAAAAAGGCAGTTTGTAAAAAATTGTGAAATGACCCTTAAAACTAGCCAGTGACAAACGTACGGTGTTAAAAAGGTATAGCCAGTGACCCTGACCCTCCTCCTCTGTCAAATGTTGGTGGAGATTCTGTTTAAGGGTGCACGGCTGCCAAGGAAACAGTCAATCAAACAGCAGTTTGCACGATCGGATTCAGCAAAATTCACCAGAAGAAACTTTGTAGTTTTTTGGACAAGACAGCCTTAAACATACGTCTAAGTCAGGGGTCGGACACCTTTCTGATGATGAGTATCATCTAACATTTCCTCAGAAGTTAATGTGCCATATCAACCATCGCATTAGCAATACATTTAATAACGCTCTATATGAACAGTTACACACTGTATAGAACAACTTTATAGAACTATATTTGTTTGCAGATGTTGGCATAGTGCAGTATTGTATTTGTGTGTATTTCCGTGGTGCTGATGCTGCGCTGAGCAGACAGCTCCTGAAGCATTTGAAGTAGCAGAATGTGGAAATTTCAACATTGCTTGAAAAAACTGCCAGCTAGCAACGTCCCTCTCACCGGTAGGCTAAGTGATTTTTAACTAATTATAAGTTGAATCTGGTAGTTGGGGTTCTTAGCTAAGATACCGTTATTAAGAAGCGGCACAACTAATGTCTCTATGTGAGCTAATTTGCGATGTGCACCGGTGGCACGGCCATTTATTTTTTTAATGCACCTTCTCAGATTTACTCACTGCGTGTCGTGCCATCAGTTAACCCTTCGCGTGCCAGCTGTGCCCAGGGTTGCCGACCCCTGTCCTAAGTAATCTAAAGGCTTTTCAGGCAGAGGAGCATCCTAAACTTCCTGCTTCAGTCACATGATCTCACTTAAAGCGAGCTCTGTTTCACATGCCAACAAAAAAGCGGGGGAGGAATTAAGTCTGAGAGCTGCTGAATTTACCTGCTTTTGTCTGAGATCTCCAATTGGTGGTCAGTAAGTATAAACAGAGAATCATTGCTCGTCCAGCTTCTTTTTTTTTTTTTAAATCAAAAATGCAGAACCTGAAGAATAAGAAAGTCTACACTGGACAATATTCATAAGAACGAGCCTACAGCAAAGCCTCAAGCTGTTCATATTGATGGAGCTTTAGTTTTCTTCCCCCCATTATAGCTCTTACTTAAATCGCATTTTCATATGTTAGTTCTTTTTCCTGCTGGCAATAATGTATGAAAACTGTAGACATGAAGTCATTAGCTAAGATTAGAAAAGTAAAATGGTGCAAAAACACATGAGGCACTCAGTCATTCAAATAAACTCACAGGTCAGCCACGTTTGTCAGATCCGAACTCTCAGCTGCTTGTCTGGGATTTTATCTGCTCGTTCATATATGACAGGGGTGGGGAACTCCAGGCCTCGAGAGCCGATGTCCTGTAGGTTTTAGATCTCACCCTGGGTCAACACACCTGAATCAAATGATCAGTTCATTACCAGGCTTCTGGAGAACTTCAAGACATGTTGAAGAGGTAATTTAGCCATTTAAATCAGCTGTGCTGGAACAAGGACACATCTAAAACCTGCAGGACGCCGGCTCTCGAGGCTTGGAGTTCCCTACCCCTTACATGTGAGATGCCCTCAGTACTGCACAGCCGTACACACAAATGGTTTTCGTGTCTAACAAGGGATCGTAAGGTTTTTCAGGTGCATTGAATTTCAAATTTGCCTGATAGTAACCTGGGTTAGTTCATCTGATAATTGTTTTTCAGCTTGTCCTGCTGTCATAACACAGTTTAAACAGTTTGGTGAACACAATGTTATCCCAAAAGAATAAGTCAACAGAATAAGTTGGGCACACCTATCCTTTAATATTTGCCTCAAGGTCACGGAGAAGTTTTTGATCTGTTAACGTCTGTGTTAAGCTGGTCTTATCTCTGCGTCTATCCGATCCGTTTATGTGTAATTATACAACTCATCGCATCAGCACAGCTGCGCGCGTGACATCATTAAACGGTGGAGTGTCAGCTCGCTCGCTCACCGTCTCCAAAGAGCTGCAGGATGGCCAGGTCCACATGTCTCTTCCAGAGCGACTCCTTCTGGATGGCGATGCCGTACCCCGTGGTGGCAAAGATGTAGCCGCTGCCAATGGTCACCAGCTTGCAGCCCTCGTCCCTGCCAGCCATGTAGTTCAGCACGGCCGCATCGTAAATGAAAGCGTCTAGTTTGCTGGAGAAGAAGAGAGCGAGGGACAAAGAGGAGGAGCGATAGGTTACAATTAATTAGCACTTGGGAGTCAGACATCACAGCTACAACATTCCAATTAACCTGCTAAATAGCTCTAAGCTGCTGATAAGTCTAATAGACTTCCACTTGGTTTGCCAAAGGCTGGGGCTGGCACACAAACTGGCGAAAAGGCGCACTTGATGAAACTGAAGAGGGGGAGTGATAGTATTATTGGACGTATTCAGCTGAGATATATTTACATGAAGCAAGACAAACAAGAGAATTTCGCAGTGATTACTTTTTAAGTCATCGTAGCCTGAATTTTACACTTCTATTGAAACAGACATTCTGATCATCGTAGTGAGTCCAATAGTGCTTCTGGGTACTTTAAAACATGATTAGCACCATTCCAAAAAGCATTCAATCAATTGAAATGAACAAAAAGCAGATTGCACCATAATAAATAATACTGTGCCCAAAACAAAGAAATGCACACTCAGTTTAATTCAGTTTTTTCATATAATGCCAAATCACAAAAACAGTTGCCTCAAAGTGCTTTATATTGTAAGGTAGACCATACAATAAGACAGAGAAAACCCCAACAATCGGACAGCCCACTAAGCCCTAGAACTTTGCAACAGTGGGAAGAAAAACTCCCTTTTAATAGGAAGAACTTCCAGCAGAACCAAGCTCAGGGAAGGGCAGTCATCTGTACGACCAGTTAGGGGTGACACTGACCGAAATACTCTTTTCAGTATCTCAAGTAATATATTCTAACACAATTTGCCAGTAATAGATTTGTGAAGTTTAAACATAAATGTGGTCATTTTCATTTTGACATTTTTCTTTTTTAACCACTTTGTTGCGAACATGCTTACCCAGACTTGAGACTCTGCAGAGCTTCATTGACATTTCTCTGATGAAACTTTGTCATGTAGGAGTGCATTTCTGGGTAGTTGTTTCTAATGTTTCTCTCTGTACTTCCATTGGGGACAGTGCCAAAACGAAACGGAGGCGAGAAGTCGTTGGGACTCTGGAACTGAACATAAAAAACAGAGAACGGAGAGGCGTGTAAAACTCTGATAAGTCTTCACACAACATTGGGTAAGGACGAGCGAGTGGCACAGCATCAAACAGAAACCTTTCACCTTACCTTTTTGTCTGACAGACCGGATACCTGGTCCACGTACTCCTCCTGGATCATGAAAGCAGCCAGGTTGGCAGTGTAGGAGGCCAGAAAGATGACAGCAAAGAAGGCCCACACTGATACCATGATCTTACTGGTGGTGCCTTTGGGATTCTGCACTGGCACAGAGTTGTTGAAGACCAGACCCCACAGCAGCCAGATGGCCTTGCCGATGGTAAAGGATGGACCATGGGGCTCTAAATTAAATAGAGTTATTGGTTAAAGACAATAGATCACTTCTGGAGCAGTTGAACAATTCTCCAGGACATCAGTGATCTATTTAGAAGAACAAAACCAAAAATTAGAATTAATTTGCTACATATATTCATTTTAGGATTTCAGTATGATCAAGGAGTTTCATTTTTTCCCCTTCTATGTTTCTGATAAAGAAATTTATCCAGGACTTTGCTTCATGACAAACAACTAGCTTTGGTTTAGTGCTAATTAGCAAGCGCTTGCTCGCTAACATGCTAGACCTGAGTAGCCACTTGGATCTGGCTTCAAAATAGAGTTTGTAACACACTCAGCTTTAAACTGTAACTTTACAATATGTTATTTGTATCTTACTGAGCACTGTGTCAGTGCTTCGCAGCCATACAGTATACGAACTCACTGTATTAACCAAGAAGCTGGATTTAGCTGATAGCATGACACTCCACCTTCTTGTCCAAATACCTGAAACGTGTCCTTCACAAACCAGCCACCGTATTATACAATCATGTGAAAAATAAGGTTTTCACAGGACTCTATGAAAACTTAGCATGCTCTATAATTTACTAGTTTGTAGAATCTCCTTTAGCATCAGTAACATGAAGTAATGGTTTTCTTTATGATGTTATCTTACAACGCTATGGAGGAATTTTGGCCTGCTCTTCTTTGCATAGTTTATTCTGTCCATTTAAGTTTGCAGCCATTTGTGTATGCACAGCTCTGTTAAGGTCCTATCACAGCATTTGATACAGGTTGAGGTCTAAACTTAGGCTGTTGGACCAACTTGATTCTTTTCTTTGTCATACATTCTGTTTAGATTTGTTTCACTTGCTCGTTTGATTAGATTTGTTGCTGTTGGATAGTATTTTGTATACAACAGAGTTCATGGTAGACTCAACAACTGCAAGGTGGCCAAGTCCTGTGGCGGCAAACCAAGCCCAAATAATCACCCTCCACCGCCATGCTTGACAGTTGGTATGAGGTGTTTGTCCTGTTATGCTATGTTTGACTGTCACTGTGGATTATGGACAAACCTGTCCAAACGGAACTGTTCCAGATGTTTTGTGGTTTATTCAGAGGCAACTTTACAAACCTTTTTGGAGAGAAGAGATTCTCTCATGCAAACCCCTCAAAAACAAGTGACATTTGTTCAGTCTTTTTCTAATTTTACAGTCATCAACTTTCGCATTAATATTTGCTAAATGAGGTCTGCAGAGTCTGAGATGTAGCTCTTGGTTTGTTTTTTAATATTTTTATAATATAATACAGATTTACATGATGACAAGGAAGACCTGCTGTTTCATGTCACCTATATAATCTTATATGTGACTGCAGTAAGTAGATGTTCTTTGTTTTATGTAATATGTTAGAGCGCTGTTGGTTCCATTCATCTATGAGTTGACAGACTGGTGCATTACAGCCATTATGCTGTGATTAGCAGTTGGTTCATAATTTGTGTGGGTATGTGTGATTGTGTGAGAGAGAATGAGAGGGTGTTTGTGTGCAACCATGTGGGTGTGTATTGTTGTGTGGACCGTTTGTTCATGGACAAACTGTCCTTATCGTGCCAAAAATCTCCTTTGTGAAGTTTGCAAGAAAGTTACTTCAATGAATTGGGGCAGAGATTTTACAAATCTGCAGCCGAGTCATTGATATGTTATTACATCAGATCTTCTGACTCCAAACTTCGATCTGCACTCTTCATGATACCAAACTCCCACGGCGCTACAAGCAGATAAAACAAGGAGGCACATAGAAAGAAAACAGCGCTTCAGGGAGGAGTACATCTTCTCCAGAAGCTGATGAAGGATGAGAGGAATGAAAAAAAGATAACTATTGTCTATATATAGCCACATTAGAGATAGAGAGTTGAGGGAGACATTGATTTTTTTCCCTTGTTTCTCATCCTTTCAGCTGAGGAGATCTAAGACGAATGCTGTCAGAGTTGACGCGTGAAATATGAAAATGAATGCAAATGACTTGTCCGGTGTGAGCAGCGCTGGAGGATTTGCTGAAACCTGTGCACTGCAGACACAACTGTAAATGATAAAAAGAGAGGCCGGTGAAGGAGGACGAGGAGAATGAAGTCAATGGGTCAGTGAGGACAGCTGGTCTACGCTATATGTGGAGGTGGCCTGCAATGTGTTTCTGTGTCTCATTCATTTTTTGTGAACAACGAAAAACATTTTGTACAACACGGGCCAACTCTTGTATTGTTACAGAAAGGAAGCATCTGTACCTGCACTTGTTTCTTTGGAGAAAATAGCTACTCAGACTACAAATCTCACTGAACACTCCTTCTCTGAAGAACCAAATTACTGGCCACCATTCTCATTCATAAACCTCACCAGCTAAGACAAGTAACCTGTGAACTGATACTGATCCACAACATTTATTTATTTCTGTGGATCTTATTAGGTGTTTAGTGTCATATCCACAATTTCCAACTTGGCTGTCAGTTCAGATGCTTTCAAAAAAAATCTGAAACAAAAAGTGTCTGAAAATAAAGCCGACAACAGACAAGTAAATGCTGGGTAAGTGCTGGTAAACATGCAAGTGTGTATTGCGTATATCAAAGTGTTTATCAGCTATTCCTGTACCTAGTTATGTGTGTTCAATACGTGTGATATTTGGACCCAAGGTCACTAAAATATCATCTCACCTATCAAAGAAATCTGAATAGACCTGCTGCCTGGGCTACATGCACAGGCAACATGTGTACATGTGTTTTCTGAAAATCTTCTAGGTCACAGAGAGCAGCTGCAGCACACAAAACAAAGTTTTTAACCAGGATGTCATTTTGTTGTGGTAATTTTAAGACTGAAAACGTGACATTTTCACCTGCGAACTAAGTGCTTTGACACACTTATAATCAATATAAATGCTGAAATGCAGAAATATAAATACTGCTGGTCTATTTATTGGTGGATATTAAACATAGATAAACAGATGAAGAAGGCAACCCAGCTATAAGACTGTTTACATCTATATCACTGAATGGTTTAGTGTGTGTGTGTGTGTGTGTGTGTGTGTGTGTGTGTGTGTGTGTGTGTGTGCGTGCATGTTGCGCTGAAGCCTCTCACCTCTGCCGTCAGCCAGACACCGGTTGTAGCCCACAGGGCTGAAGTACTCGAATATAAACACAGCCACTGCTGACACCAGCAACAGCATCACGAACATCATCACCCACACATCCGCACTGAAGGGCTCTGGAGGGCGAGAGAGCGAGAGAGGGAAGAGGAGAGAAAGATGAAGGGAGAAGGGGGGGAGCATGGACAGAGAGAGATAAGTAAATGGGTGGGGCGGCGGTGGGGTGTGTAAGGAGGCAGAAGACGGGGAATAGACAAGGGACATTAGCAGAGAGCGAGGGAGAGGGAAAAAGAGCGAGGGCGGCGGAGAGAAAGAGAAAATGAAGCAAGAGAGAGGAGAGGGCAAGAGAAATATGCAAATGTGGTGCGCCAGATTGAGAAGAGGAAGGAAGCATCAGAGAAATGGAGTGGGAGTGGGAAATATAAGAGGGCAAAGAGACAGGGAGCAAAACAGTTAGCCGTATTATCATGCACTCCAGTGTTCGCTGTGCAAATGTGCTGAAACTTGGCTCCTATCATTTGGCGTGGCCACTAAATCTCTTTCTGTTCAACTTTTAAAGGGGAAAAAAATCAAACAGCGTAATAAAAAGTCATCACTGTCCGTTTGTCAGGAAGGCTAACGAAAAGACATTTGTGCAAAAATTGCTTTTAAACTTAAAGATTTCAAGAATTCTTAGGAGTTAAGTCGAACCATTTAAGTGAAACTGAAAAAGTCTGTACAGTTCAAAAGGATCCAGCTTTACTGTACGTGTAAATATAAAGATATTAAAATGCAATTTGTCCTCTAGGGTGGACTCTATGGATCATTTTGGACTCCACCACCAGTACAAACTGCATACACTATATGGGTCTGTACTACAGAGGGGATTTTGTTCTCTTTAAAGGGGCTTTGGTGGAGCTGACTAGGGACAAAAGCACCATTGGTCCACATACAGTTAAATGAAGGAGCCTGTCTATGCTAGCTTAACAAACATGCATGCTTTTTCCTCTTATTTTTTGCCATTTGATAAAGAACAATGCATTTTAAGCATGACTAAATTAAACTCCACTTCCTGTGCACTGGCCATTAGGCCATCCTACATTCAAAATGCTGATTTAAAAAAAAAAAAAACTTTCCAAAACCCGCCAGATCAGAGCACAAATGAAGATCAATCCTTTAAGAATAGTGCTTAAATGCCTGGTGGCTTATCCATTATTGTGTTTTTGTTTAGTTTTTTTCAATAAACTGCACAAAAGAAGACATTCCTACAAGTTTGACCGGTCTCTCCTGGATCAGTGCTCACACAGGTCAAAACACAGCCTTTGGTCTCTTCCCCTGATCCATCTCTGCCGCCCTCCCCCAACCTTTTACAGCTCGCCTTCCTCACCTAAGAAAGCCGAGGGCGAAACGGTGCCATTGCTGCGAGAGACCATGACGCTGATGCCTGTCTCAATAAAGGGGACGGAAAAGTCAATGACCTCTGACCTCTCCTCGTTGATGGTCAAGGAGCCGACGGCCATGTGAGCGTTTTTTAACACCACCTAGGCAAGATGCAAAAAAAAAAAAGCAGAAAGAGAGAAAGTGTGTCTGTTATCTGTTTCTCAACACATCCGTCAGGCAGCTATCAATAACAGAGGCAGAGTAAGTCAATGAATGCAGTCTTGTGTGCTGTGGCAACAAACACATTCCAAAAAACTATTTCAATGGAGATAGTTAAGAATAGCTTTTGGTCATAAAACAGCATAAAAATAGCATATCACAGCCATCGGTTCATTTGAAGGTGACTGTGCAGTCTTTCTAAATGTGAATCAATCCTGTTTGGCGATGTAACAGAGACAAAGGTGGACATCCTTATAGTTTAAGATCATTAATGTGGAAAACAAATACTGTTTATACCATCTATTCAGGTTCCCCTCTGCTTCAGGATGAATGAAAAACGAGCCTCTTAGCAGAGAAGTTCTGGATTAGCTAACATGTCAACGAGCAGGTTTCACGATAGGACATGTTTTTGTACTGACTTTAAGATGATCACATGGTCACAATTCATAAGCATATGGCGGCATCCTATGTCACAGGTCGTTATGTAGATCATAAACAAGGCCGGTGTAATCACAGAGTTAATTAGTTAACAAGAGCACTTAGACAGCGCAAAAACGTGTGTTGTACAGCTGTCTCTATGCCCTTTTATGTGATGCATTACTCAATATGTGACTTTTTTAAGGTCAACTTTGACCTCTGGCACTAATAATAAAGGTCGAGGTCAGATGCTTAGCCAACTTGTAGGTATTCGTGTCCCTTAAGGCCTAGTATTTTGTAAATGTTGAAGATGACCCATAAAATAAATTGTGAGTAAAGGTTTTACTGATTTTCACTTTTGGTGTGCAATTGACCTGATTTTCACCAATCAGCTCGAGCTGTTATTGGTATCTAGCATCACACATAATTTGAAAATGATATCTCTGAAACTGTGGATGCTAGACTGCTAAAAAACAGACAAACAAACAAACAGACCTGATTATGTACTGCCTCCCTAGCTCCAGATATCTAAAGGTCATAGAAAGCATGAGTTAGACCTATGCTTTGTTTATGGAAGACATATTAAAGGGATTATTGGGACCAAAATTAAATTTAGGGTTTTTTTTTCTCTGTCCTGTATTTATCCCCTAGTGTTTTTTGTCAGTTTCACAGTTTTAAAGATATCAGCTGAAGGGATGTCGGCCTTCTCTTAAATATAAAGGATATAAATGGGACTTGATTTGGCACATTCACCTAACAAACAAAAGATCCCCAGTTTGATCCCAGGAATGGACACAAACTCCTTCACGGTTGTGTCAGGAAGGGCAAATCTGGCAAATCAAATATGTGGCACCACCTTCTGTGGCGACTCTTTTTTTAATAAGGGAGCAGCTGAAAGCAGTTTTCTTTCATGAGGGAAAAAGTTCCAAAAAACACATTTGAAAAATTTAGCAGTAATGTCTCGCTGTTGTACCCACGAGCCTCTCCTGAAGGGAGGATGGATGCTTTCTTCGGCTGACTGATACAATTGCTGGGTGTAGTTTGATAGAAGGAAATTGGTTCCTATATTAAACTGCTCACAACAGGGATTGTGGATTTTTTAAAGTGATTTTTTATTCAAGAGAATATTCAAGAGAAAGCAGACATTTCCACAGCAGATATATTTTAAAATGCACATTAAAAGAATCTCAATGACAGACGGCACTGCAGGCTGGAGGAAAAAGCATGTAGATTTGATTTCTGGTTGGTGAACACTTTAAACTTTAGAGTGGACCTTATTTTCGGTCTTCTTGTCAAGCTGCTCACTTCCTTCCAATAACATCTGTCCCAGAATACATACAACACTTTACCCTCGTCTTCAGTAACCACGCGGAGCAAAATAGGCTGAAACACCAACCTCTCCAAAGAACAAAACCACAGCTCAGTTCCTCAAGTTAAACTTTGTTCTGAGAAAGGGAGAAAAGTTGTAGTTCCCCTTTGTAGTTCCCTTCTCCTTGTCCATTAACATGTATAAAACATGATGCAGACAGGGTACTCTCTATCTGCTAGCTGTCCAAAAGAGTTTTCCGGCATACGAGGGAGATTAAATTTGATATGAGGTTAGGAAAGAAAGGAAACAAAAGTGTGCAAAGAAACATGAGGCTAAGAAAATGGAGGCAATGGAGACAAAGATGGAGCGCGGTAGATCGAGACAGCACACTTTCCACACATATAGCACTCGGACTGGACACTCGTGACGCTCGCCAGGGGACGGAGAGGGGGAGAAAGACACAAAGAGGGAGGGAGTAAGTGGGTTACCACAGTGGGTCAGGGCTGCTTGAAATAGCCGCCCCAATGCCTTCCTCTACCTGCCTTCCTCCCCTTCCATACCTCTGCACAGGTAGTATATTTAGCCCCAAATTTCTACAGCCCTACAGCACAAGTGGGACAGGACTGTCTCTCTGAGTTAATAAGGCGTGTGTGACTAGTGTGAGTCAAAACTCCGCTGTGTGCTTCAGTGTTAGAGTGAGTGCGCGCACACAACAGTGAGTCATAAAAGGGAAAAAGACAAAGAGAAGCGAGTGAACCTTTGTTCGCTACCTGTGAAGTGGACCTTTACAGGCAGGGAGAATATTCCACATCTGCTCTGCACATTATCTGCAATGCTTTTTTTTTTTGTCAAGTGTTTATGTGTGTGCAGCATGTGTGCAGCATGTGTGCATTTGTAACTTTCCGATCTTGCTTATTCCTTTGCCTTTGTGTGTGCGTGTCTTAATGTGCGAATATCTCCCTGGGGAAGACAGCGAGTCCAACCAGCAGCGTACTCACTTCCTCTCTCCCCGTTCGCTCTCTCCATCTCCCTCCTACGACTTGTTCTCTCCGTGTTATGAAAGTGACCCATGTGGGTGTTATTGAGAATGAGTGAGCGAGGTTCTGCGTTTGCGATTGTTTATGTGTCTTGGCTGGTGTGTGCGTGCGTGTGTGTGCGCGCGTGCCAGTCTTTATGCGTCTCTGCTAGCGAGGCTAAAATTCATGTAATCAAGCGCATTGCCTCTAATATTTTAGATTAGGTGCACTGGGGGCAGCGCAAGTCAGTGCAGCCCATGAAATGTGACACTAACTGCTAGAATTGAGTTAGGACAAAATGTAAGACTTCTCATCACATTCATTGATTTTCTTTTTTCTTTTTTTAAATTTGATCTTTTGTGAGCTGTGGCAAATTGTGAAAACGCCCTCGATGATCTCTGCGAGATATCCGGGAGCGCGCTCAGACATGTTTCGTGTGCAAGCGTGCGTCGCCGTCGGTCCAGATCTCGGTCCGCCGTCAATGTGAGATATGCTGCAGTTTTGGCTGTTCTCCAAGCGGAGAAGGACGCAGGTCGGATTTAGTTAGATCCAGCAGTTATGGCGGAGCTTTGCTGAAGTGTGAGAGTGTAAATCTGACCTTACAAGTGCAACATAAAGAAACGGTCTCACCAAATAGGGTTTCTTTGTGTCTACGTGTCTGCTTTGGTTCATGTTTTTCTGTGCTTACTCAGACATTAGAGTCTGTTGTCTGCATGTGCAAGAGAGGTGGATAAATGCCCCCCTCCCCCCGTCTATTCTCCTAATGACCATTCATCTGTGGAGGTGAGAAGGAGATGGTACATTACGACGCTTTTAGTCATGGCGATAGAGTTTATTACAGGTGGCCACACTTACAGCTCGGTGCCCACTAAAGAGAGGTTGACTGTAATGGCTTTATGTAAGAGATTAAATGTGTCAGTAAATTGAATAGCAAAAGTGTCCACGCAGGAAAAAGCAGACACGTAAACTCATCTCGTCTCTGTCTTCTGTGACTTCCGAAGGCTGCTCGAACTTTATTATCCACGCAAAGTTGGGCAAAGCCAAAGTCCTTCAGTAGCAACTCTGACAAAACATGTTCTCAACCCGTGACCTTTGGGGTCCTATTGATCTGTTTGCCTTCATTAACAAATGGCCAACGTCAGACAGCACAAGTGCAGTTCGCTCTTATAGGTTGAAGTATGAGAACTGACAACGACCTTAGCTTGGGAGCAATGTCGATTAGGAAATGTTTCAAGCCCGCAGTGAATTGTTGCAGCTGACTGAGCTGAACCTGGGGTGAGGTGCTTAACCCATCTGACATAAGAATTAGGCCCGTGTGGCAGAAGCTTGACCCGGAAAGGGAAGCTTATAATTCAAGGTATGAAAACGAGCTTCAAAGAGGAAATGAACCCTTCAGGCACCCCCTGTGTGAGTTAAAAATAGCTCAGGACATTGAAAGCAGACAGTAACTTTGTTTCCCCTTTAATCTTTTATTCACCTTCACCTCCAACTTGGCAGTAACTCCAAGCATCCTAATGCGGTCCGCTCATCTCAGCAGAACAAGAGAAAAAAGAATCACACTGGCTGCATGGTAAAAACAACAAGCAGCTGATATAACGATGCAGTAAGAGGCAAAGGGTACACAGCTTTGACTTTATATTTCTGCTGTCCAATTTATTCATTTTGTAGCGCCAATAGTTTTGAAATGGCACCTTTTATTGTTACTTCAAACCAAGCTCAGGCTGTTCTCTGAGCAGATCAGTGGATATGAGGAAGCCTCAGTGCCAGTCCACACCAGCTGATGGCTAAGCTTATATACTTCATACTCATTCAGCTGGGTTTAGAGAGTTGCTTTAGCCTGCCTAAAGTTGATCTTGCATCTCCAAGCCACTTTGCAACCCACCTCCACCCCCAGCTACTTTTTTCACACTGTTTTTCTTATTTTGTGTTTTTTTTGGTTATGTTTGTGCCCTCCAGAGAGGGCTTTTTAACCTAAGGAAACATACTTGCGTCCAATCCTCCAAAAACACAATGCTGACTGACTGGAAAAGTGGGTCAGAACAGGGAAGGGAGCAACAGCGGCCATTACCACAAATGGGTGAAGCACGAGAAATACAGCAGAGAAGCCTGGCTGGTGGCTGTAGTGGACATTTTTCATTGTTTTTAACATTCGGGTTCAATTCAGCTCTATGTATCATATACCTTTGTTCTTGTCCATAGCTGGTTAATGGACCAATAACAACACAAGCAAGAGTCCACAGACTGTTTGTCACACTGCCCCCTGGTGACAGTGAAAAACTACAACATGTCGACAATGGTCTGCTAGGCCATGATGTATGTATGATGTGTCTAAACTGATTGTGATTGAGTTCTGGTAGTTCGTGACCTCCCTGGCAGAATATGCCAGTGCATGTAATTGGTTGAAGGGTAGTTTCTGATTTGCATTGTGCTTTTTACTCAGAGAGTAAATCACAAGGAATTTTTGGTGCTAGCATCAGACAGCAAACTCCACCAATCACTCGCAACTGGTCAGGAACATCCATTTTTATCTTTCCGTCACAACTGGTGGTTGACAGTTGGTTGGCCTCCGGGTCTGTATGACTAAGCCCTTATTTAATCAATGCTGTCTCTGCTGTCATTGATGTCTGCTCTGTTTTGTATGGGGGGTCTTGCAAGAAATGACTGCAGATGGGCATAATTTTATTTTGACAGTAGCAGTCCTGATGGAAATAAGTGCAACTGTCATATAATTTGCACATGCATGACAATGAGAAGTTTCCGTTTCCCCAGAACATTATTAGTGGATATCCTTTTTGATGATATCGTCTCCATTACATGCAGAACTGTCACTTCTGCAAGTAATGGAGTCAAGGTGTGCAAAATTAAAAAATAAGACACAAACAGACGTATTACATCCTTACCTCTCCCACCATGCCGTTCCAAGTTCCATTGACTTTCTTGCCATGTTTTCCATTGGTGACCAGGTAAAGGTCATAGGTAAATTTGACTGACTTGGCAATCTTCTTCAGGATGTCGATGCAGAAACCCTTACAGCAACGCTTGATGTAGATCCCTGACTCTTTTGTCTGATTGCTGCATAAGAGGACAGATGGACAATTATTTAATTAAAAATGTACATCTGTGTGAATGGCCATGAATCATTAATTGTAAAAGTGATTTGGTGTTTCTGGCACTGTCACTGTCACACCGATGAAGTGTGAAATGATTCCACCTCGGGCTCCGCAAAGCTGCCGTGGGAAATTAACATCATTCACAAGTATATTTTAGGCAGTTGCCAGGCTTTTCATTTCTGCTTCGGTCAGTTCTGCAGTAGGTGGAGCTGTGAGCTACTGTGGCAGATGGCAGGAAAAATATGTGTAAAAACTCACACTCATCTAACCTTTTACTCGGTGGAAATTAGTTTTTGTCTTGTAACGCATTCTTACGTTTGATTTTCAGGCATTTCAGCATTAATCTGACACAGATTTTCTACACGTGAAATTTGAGCCTCACACTGATTTGATCTGTTTCCGGCAGGGTACAGTGTTCCTCATGCACGTCCCACTAAGCGGATCCACGTCTTCCACAATGACGAACGGAGCCTCCTCCAATGTCACGATGGACAGGTGGTCATCCTCTCTGTTTGCTGGTCCCCCGTATAGTTCATAGCGAGGCCACACATGGTACTTCATGGACAGGGAACCGTTCTCCCATTTACCCACCTGGAGAAACATCGAGAAAACAAAAGAGAGTAAGTCTGCCTTTAAAATCACACACCAAGTAAGACTTTATTCATTTATATAGTTGCTTAATAGTAATCATGGAGAGACTTGCAGTCTTTTTATTTTCGTCTTTTGTGATTGAGCCTTGAAGTGCCGAAAATAACAGTGAAACACATCAAATGGCAGAAATCAAAATAAAAACAAGAATTTGGATTAAATTTCACACTGCAGTAACTCAAGACCATAAAAAAATAACTGCAGCTCTGCAACTGCAAACAGCTCTGAAATATATCACCAGCGATCCTGCATGGTGTTCAAGCAAAAATATCTCAATATAATTTTAGAGCTTCTTTTTCTACTTTCTGTATTTTTGTGATTTTGAGATGAGAGGTGACTTTTACCTTTGACAGATTCTTTATCGGTTAAACTTTTCATTTAAAACAAGAAAATTCAAATGAAAGTTTAATATATGTACAATTGCTCCATCCACCCCAGGAGAAACCCACTAAAATAGATGGCATATCCTTTGATTTTCATACTAAAAAATTCATAAATTTAACATTTAGAGATCCTGTCCAATTCATTAGGTTACTCTTCATGAGCCCATGCTTACATTAGTCTATTAGATGTTCATTAAACAAACCTTCCTACACTGCAGAAAGCTTGTGGGACAGACAAGCCACAGGTGTTTCAAAGTTTTCTAAGCCTAACAGAAAGAAAACAGTGGCTTCCTGCTCTTGGATCACATGTCTGTTTCTAGCCACACTCTGGTGAACACACCACTGGAGATCCACACGGCATTTCTCTATGGAAGGTTTGTACAAGGATCTCCAACTGCCCCTAGGAGACGACCCCAAGCCAACACGCCAAACCACCTAAAGCGGCCAGTGATGCTTTTTTGACAACTTTGCCAGCCACGGCGTACAAAGCTTTCTTCAACACCAGTTAAGTAGTTCAGGTTTAAAAAAGATAATGGCGATCCTTCTTCATCCTGCTTCCCCACTGTAGCACAAATGAATAATGATGGAAAGTCAAGCACCAAGATCCACCTGTTGTCTGGAAAGTGAGTCCCTACTTTCTCTCTAAAGATACCAGGATGGCTTTTTAGAGAGGCAATAGGGACTTCTTCTCGTAGCTTTTCCAGAAGTCATAGAGATCTTACCCCAGTTTCCTGAGTTTTAATTAAATTACATTTTTAGAAGAATCCCACCTAAAGCCACTTCCTGCTATCCCAAGTGGTGTTTTCACTATCAAACTAATAATTCTACCCTGTAACAACCTGATTTCCTTTTCTAACTCCTGAAAACAGTTTTGTCCAATAGCTATTGTGTCACCTTGTATTTTTGGTGAGAAGAATTCCAACAAAACTAACCTGTGTTTTTCTTAGATCTCCCCATTGAGACAGATTGGCAACATCTTTTTGTTTTCAAGTCTCCAGTGACTCCAGAAGTCAGAGAAATCCTGCCAGAACTCTCTGTTATGGGTCAGTCGCACATTAAAGTGACAATATGGTAACAGCATGCCAGCAAAGAGATGCCTAAAAATTACCAAATGGTGATCAAAGAAACCAACAGGTGGTATTGCTGCTTTAACCAGCGTATTACTGTAAAATTGATTAACCTAAATTCTATCAAGCCTGGCTGCCCTCCAGCTGCCTTCAGAGATTCCACATATGTGTATTTTCTCACATCTGAAGCTTCCTCCAGATGTCTCTAAGACCATTTTTAATTATGACGGTGGACAGAAGGGAAGCTGAAGGTGTATAAGGTTCCCCTGTAATTCTACCAGCTGAAGGATGGGTGGTACGTTTACAATCCCACTACTACTGAGCCATTATTTAACTGTTTTATTTATCATTTAATTTTTCAGTTCATGTCAATTTTATTTATATAATATAGCACCAAATCCCATCAGCAGTTGTCTCAGCGTGCCTCAGAAAACCTCAACAACCTGATGACCCACAATGAGCAATCACTTGGCAACATTGGGAAGGAAAATCTCCCTTTTAACAGAAAGAAATCTTGGGGAGAACCAAGCTGAGGGAGGGGCAGCCACCTGAGCTTGCCCCTCCCTGAGCAAGCTTAGTTTCTCTATCCCTGCCCCCACTGATATTTAAAGTTCCCCGTTTTTCCTTCCTGAGTTAAGTCAGTATCTTCTTTACACAAAACCCTTTTTGTTTACTTAGCTGTTCGTGACCAACCGCTCTCCTCATCTTTAAAACAGAAAAGTCTGGGGAATAGTCTGACTCCCACAGACGGTCTTCCAAGGGTTTTATCAAAAAAGTAACAGGAGTACGACTGTTGGCGCTCGTCTCGTGATACAATATCTGAGGATTGCTACAAAGACTCACCCTCAAGCATTTATAACTCTTTATTTTCAAGATTTATGGCGTTCAAACAACCTGTAGTTATACTCTGATTTTCAGCTTCAGCTGCCTTTATTCTCGTCTGTCCACGACCTTCAATGTCCTCCGCTTCTCTGTCATCCTGACCAGAGCTTCTACCTTTCGCTTCGTCAGTCTCGTGCACGACTCCTTCCACTCTAGCCTCGTGTCTAACAGGAGAACAGAACACTCACAGAGAGAGATGCCATAACTTTTTTGTTTTGTTTGTTCACCTCTCAACTCAGTAAGTGAAATTAATATTTCAAGAGAGTGTGTAAAAAAGAGAGGAGAGGAGAGGAGAGGAGAGGAGAGGAGAGGAGAGGAGAGGAGAGGAGAGGAGAGGAGAGGAGAGGAGAGGAGAGGAGAGGAGAGGAGAGGAGAGGAGAGGAGAGGACTGGGACACAGAGTAGAGAATGAGAACAAGGTTATTCTGAAGGGCGAGACTGAAACAGAGGGAAAGTGCAGAATTCAGATAGAGCGTAGAGGACGGGTAGAGAAATACAGAAGTGGATGGAGAGATTAATTGAAGAAAAAAAGAGAGAGAAAGGGAGAGTTTAAAGTAAGAGAAAGAGCCAAGTGAGTGTCGGGATGACAGAGAAAGAAAGCCAGAGATGGAGCTCATTCAAATGCAAAATACAGGCTCTTCTGTAGAGGAGTGTCCAGCTGTAGGTCTGGAGGACCCTCTAGCCCTTGTGGCTCTACTCCACTGAATAAGCGTCATCAATTAGTCAATTTCCCCCGGATGGCTCTCACATAAAACCATACCTGGAGACTATGCCTGTGCCCTTTCCTCCGGTTGTGCCAAGTAGGCCATTTTTATGAGCGGAAAGACGTGGGTGGAAGTGGGAATGGATCATCAGCTAATTGGACTCGGTATAATGCGAGGCAGGGGAGGACAGGGAGCTGTGGTGTGAGTATGTAAAGTTAGGTTTGCACTCTCATTAAATATGTAAATGTGCTCAAACACATTGGACTCTGGGGAGCACAAACTTGGCAAGGCTGCCTGGAGTGGACAAACTAAGGCTGTGTATCTCTGGGACACAATGCAGCCTTTTTCCTGTTGGGACAAAAAAAAAAAAGGGGGGGGGGGGGTAGTGAGCTGGAGCAAGTGATGGAGAGAGACAGAGATGGAGGTGGGGGACTAAGAAATGAGTGGGGTGTATTGGAGGATAAGGGTTAAAATCAACCAGCCAGGGCAAAAAGCATGACTGGGTACTACAATATACCTGCTACTTCAAAGATGCAGTGGAAGGATGGTTGTAGCTGGAACTCATTAGGATCCAAGAAAAGTGGTTCAGCTGGAAGTCAAGCTAAGAATTAAACATGAGCGAGGGAATAGGAGGAGGAGGAGGAGGAAAAGGGATGGGGTGGTTCAGGCTGCAAGGGGAGAACGGGATAGAAAGGAGAGAGAGGAGGGGAGAGTTTCACCTTGTTCTCCGATCAGAGGACAGAATATAGATTAGAGAGGCAGAAGAAAGAGAGAAATACAGAGAATAAAGAATAGGGAGAGTCAAAGGAGTCAGACTGCAGGACACAGAAACAATAGAGGGTAAGCATCAGGAAACACAGATGCATGCCGGTGACTTGGCAGGTGGTGATGCGTCAGGTTCATTTAAGGTTGTGGACACGGGATTATTGTTGCCATATGTTCACTACCATCTTCTTTTCCACCTGTGCTTGGAGACTTTTTTCCCAGTCTGTACAATGAAAAATCTGCACCTTCATTCACTGAACGGAAGTTTTACATTTAAAGTTTGACTGACATTTAGTTGTTATTCATTAAGTCGTACGTTTCGATACGCGAGTCAGCAACTCTCTCGCAGCTGAACTTTCAACCTCTCAGCTTTAAAGGCCTGTGGCACAGTGCAGTGCCTGAACCATTTCTGTGCATCAGACTCAATCTCATCTCTCCATTCTTTAGCTATAACTGCTTATGTGTGACGGTTATAAGGAGGCGGAAACCAATCCCAGTTTGCATTATGCAAGAGGAAGGATACAAACTGGGCAGGCTGGCAGTCAATCACAGAGCTGACACATAAACGGACAGCCATTCACCTCTGTGTTCACGGGCAATTTTACCACACAGTTACTCAAACCTGCATGCCTTTGTTCTGTGGGAGCGTGGAAGCGTTAGCAGAACATGCTAATAAAAAAAGCCACTGGAAGTTGGGAGTCTACTTTTGTCCACAGCAAGTAACAGTTAGAATATTATCAGTGTCTGAGCAACTTGTTCTACACACATTGTCTTAAATAATGTCATCATAATCACGGCTCAACTCAACGTTGTGTCAGTTAATGCTGCTAATGGCAGCAAGTCCAGATCACATCCTTAAGGCGTTCTTTGTTTCAACAGGACCAAAATTACATTATTTTATGAATCCATATTTCAGTCATGTGATCGTCATGTGACCGTCTCAACACCCTGGCAGGCAAAACAGTACTCCAACATGACCTCAAATAGTGGACGCATCTATCTATCCATGGAGGAAAAACGAAGGCCTTTTTAGTGACTTGTGTTCCATATTCTGCCACTGCAGAGCTCAGTGAGAATCTTAAAAAAATCCCTCACCTCACACTGCTGCCAGGATGAAAGCTTTCAAAGTAAGGACAGCTCTCTAGTTTTTGTTGCTTTTTTTAAGGTGAAGAACGAGAAATTGTTCATTGTTCAAAACGCTACAGAGCTAGCTTAAACAAATGTAAATCTTGCGTTTTGTTGGGCATTTACAAAGTAGGGCCAGTAAAGTTTCAACAGCATTAATTTGTCAAATTATTGTTGCCCATCCTCTGTCAGTTCTAAGTTTTAAATATCTAGTCTGCACGAGGTTTAGGTAAACAGAATGAACCAGAATAGATGATTCATTACACCGTTTCGTTATTTATTTAACAAAAATCAAGCCAAAATGCACGGTGAGAAACTACGTAGACCACATGATTCACTAGCTTGTAGAACCACATTTAGCAGCATAACTTGTAGTAATTTTTCTCTGTATGACTTTCTCTCATGTCAATTTTGTCCCAGTCTTTTTTGCAATGTTGCTTCAGTTCATTGAGATTTGCAGGTGTTCATTCATGCACAGCTAACTTAAGCTAAGCTAAATGCAGCTAACTGCATTTTTATCAGGTTGTATGTGACTGGGCAATACTTTTCTTTTCTTTTTCGTATATTTGCTGTGCTTGGGATCGTTGTCCTGTTCCACGGCCCAATTTTAAGCCAAGCATTAGCTGTCAGACACATGGACTCGTATTTGACTCGAGAATACTTTGGTATGCAGAGGACTCATGGCCGACTCAATGGCTGTAAGGTCACTGAATTGACTTTACAGCCACCTCCACCACTGTGCTTCACAGTTGGTATGAGGTGTTTATGCTGATATGCTGCATTTGAATTTCTTCAAATGTGGGTTGGGCATTATGGCCAGACATCTCCACTCATGTCCCATCTGTCGAAAGGACATTGTTCCAGATGTCTTGTGGTTTGTTCGGATGCACCTTTGCAAACCTGAGCAGTGCTGCTGCTGTTTTTAGTGAAGAGGCTTTCTCCTGAAATCCCTTTGAAAAACCATATTTTTTCATTCTTTTTCTAATTGTACTGTCATGAACTTTAACATTTAACATGCTAACTGAGGTCTGAAGAGTCTGAGATATAGCACTTCTGTTGTTTGTAGCAATTTCTCTGAGCATTAAACGATCTGACCCTGGGGTGAATTTACTGGGACCTCCACTAAGTTTGGTGTAGGTCTTGGGAGTTTTCCACTTGTAAATAACAGAATGATCAATCTCCGATTGTTTGGAAATGACCTTATAACCCTTGCCAGATTGATGCGGAGCAACAATTGCTTCTCTAAGATCATTGATGTCTTTCTAGCCTTATACTTTTTTATTATCAGGATGTCTGTAAATGTATGAATGGATATCTGTATGTATGGGATGGTATAAAAAAATGACATATTCTACTCAGAGAATACAGTTTCACTCCATATATTTACCTTGATCTCCTTGTCCCACCCAGTCTTTACAATAACTTGCTGCCTGTTAGTTCTTAAGGGTGTCTTGACATCTTTTTAGTGAAACAAACAGATTTTTTTGGAGACAGCGCATAACCAGGATTTTGTAACAAAAAAAAAAAAAGCCGAATAACAAATAGGCAACTGCTAACCAAGTTTTGAAATTAAAACAGCTGTGGAGCAGCATTCAAATAACACATCACCACTCTGGAGCCTCTGCTGCAGTGCATTGCTCAAAGGCACCTTCACTGAGCTGATAATATCTAATCAGAGTTGCGTCTATAAGGCTTAAGGCTTAAAATGCTTGAAAAGTGAAAATCAGACGATAAGAGATCCAGATAAAAACACACAGATACTCGCGGACTTCATAGGGAACAGCTAACTCATTGCTTCTATTCATTTTAACAGTTTACAAAATGTTTTACTGTTAACAACAGAGGACAATTAGGTTAGTCAGGACTTATAATTTTGTGCACATCGGCTGTTTTTTTTTCATATGAGTGTCTTACCCTCCCCCCCGACACACACAAAGACCGTCAGTGTCTCCCTCTGTCTCACCCTGTCCCACTGTCTCTCCTTGTTGAGCAGAATGATGACCAGCTTGGGATGCATCTGGTATCCGTCCTCACTGAACGACAGATTTCGTCCCTCAAACGTCACATTCATCAGGTACCTGCAGAAGAAAACATTGAGGAAAGAAACAGACTTGCTGGAATATATCCTTGTCACTGGCATTTCACAAATGTCTTATTTGTTCTATATATCTACATCCATTCAGGTTCCATTACTCAGTTCTCCAATCATTAAAGTTTTATTGCACATAGACTTATTTTTTTAAGCATCTTTTCTGACAAACCCAGTGATATTGCATAAATTCGTCATCTGCCAAGAAACAGCTATCAACTAATGTCGAACCAGCTCTTCCATAAATAGATATACATTAGTCATCAACAGAACGGCAGATGATGTCTTTAAGACGGGACTAAAGAAAATGAATTTCAGCAAATTATGTCATCCCTAAATGTCAAATATTACATTTCAATTGCTGCCAATGAGTTCACCTTTTCTGTTGTGACATTCAGTGTGAAATTTTGTGTATTTGCCCTCTGATATTTCCCCATCACGAGCTGGATGAAAAGGTTCATATCAAACCTCTATCTGTTAAATAAAAGCTACAGTCAGCAGGTAGGTAGCTTAGCACAAAGACTGGATACACAGGGAAACATTGGTCACTCAGTACTTCATCCTTCAAACGTAACAAACACAGAAATTCACACGTTGTACAAGGTGTGAGAAAAAAATTCGACATCTCCAGCATTAAAAACAATTAACAACCATATCAATCAGACTTTGAAGGCTGACCCTTATCATTCAGTCTTATACATGTACCCATCTACAGATTGTTTTGATAGTAGCTGCTATTTTCTTTTCAGACCAGTCTCTCCATTTGAGTCTTATACGTCATTTAAGAACATCTGTGTTCAACTGAGTCAGCTACCATGCCTCTGATCATTGCTGGTAATGACAGCTGGTTCTGCAACTACAATATTAGAAGCAAACATGAGTTTTTACATGGATGAATCTGCAGTGCCTGAAGGTGACGGTTAAGGTCAGCGTGGACAAGGAATATGCTTGTTTTGTGACATTTACCAGTGCACACACTGTGAATTCATCTCACAGGATCAGACTGTCAAAGCAGAGTGAGTGCAACGAAAATGATCAGAGTGGCTTAAGTTTGCAGAGATTCCCAACACATTGCGATCAATCTGAGTAATTCTGCAACCAGTCTCGTTTCAATTGGAGACTCAGCTAGTTGTGTCCTGGTTTCATTCTTAAATTAAAAAGAAAGGCTGCCAAGCTCCTTAATCATTTTACAGTTAAATCACAATCCTGCCACAACGATGTCTCTATTTGTGAAGGAATGTCTCAAATCTCATGTTTTGTCTGGACTCTGAATGTAATTAGTTTCTGTGAATTTCTAATTAATGCGAAATTCTGTAAGCTAATTTATCACACTGCATAAGACTGCATGTAACTGCCAATTCGACCACGATCAATCAAACTGATAGCAGACTGACTTCGTCTTATTGCCATTTTATCATCATCTTAATGTGCCAAAGTCGCTTTGGAGACGACAACTGCGAGTGATTACAAGTTCTTTGTTTACGGCCTTAACTGCGGTTCTGCTACAGTCTCTATCTACTGTTCTTCCTATGGTGACTGTAGCACAAGAGACAACCTTGAGAAGAAAAGAAACTGTTGTGACTGTCGCCGAGGGGCAGCACACACCATTGGCAGGATTTTTCTTCTGTGGTTAATGTTGCTTCTCTGTCCTTTTTGTCACAGACCCAAATCGTAATCAAGTCGAAGGGTTGCTGTCTAACACAGTCGAGGACCAAATCCAGTGCACATTACATATGAACAACAAGCGCATGAACAAGTGATTTGAAAATAGCAGTCATTCTGGGCTGAAATCTTTTGCCATGCAACCAGCAGAGATTCCATGAAGTTACTGTTTCTGACCAAGAAACAGCAGTCAGACCACACTCTGAAAACGTATGCTTCAAAAAAGGAGCTCATTAGCGAGCTTTAGAGGTTCTGGCAGGTGGATTTTTTTTACCTTTATTCACACAGTCGGGGTAGTTGCTTCACTCTGTTTTAAGACTTTAAGCTAAATTATGTTCTCTGTCGTCCTGTCTGGGGGTTGATTTCTGCATGAACGGCTGCCAAACACAGCCATGAGAACTGTGATTAAAAAAACATTATTAAAATCCAGCTTATCCATTGTCCTCATCATAAGATAATTACAAAGAGATGAAAAAAAATCTACAACCAAACAGCTTAAATATTCACTAAATATACAATTTGAAATAACTGCTCGGACATAATTTAAAATCTATGAGCGATTTGAAGTTAATTTTTCCTGGAGCTGAAGGGACACGCACATGAGCAATGCAGTTTCTATCGGGTGTCAGAAGTGTGTGTCAGGTGGAATAATTTCACTTCCCTGCAACTAAAACAACACACACACACACAGCACTCAGCAGTGCCATACCCTCTGCATGAGGGTATGGTTATTGTGCGTGGGAGTGTGTAAGTGCATGTACATGAGGACAGCAATGTTTATGTCAGATGAACTTGAATTCACTTCACTGTCATCCCACACACACACAGACACACACTCTCTCTCTTAACTATTTCACTCCCTCACCCCTAGCCTTCCCGCTCTGTGACTGTTTCCATGGAAACTCTCTACCTCAAAAGCATGCACGCTATATATATATATGGAGAGAGATGAATAAATACATGGCAAAAGATACTGCATCTGGAAGTGTGTGCATGTAGAGGATTGTATGTTGATGGGATCTATCTATCTATCTATCTATCTATCTATCTATCTATCTATCTATCTATCTATCTGTGATGAAATGACTTATGTAATCCAGCAATTACTCTAATGCCAGCTTTCTTATTCTTTCCTCTCTATCAAAAATTGATATTTTCAATGGGCTGTGATGATCACACTCATCCACCATCACACCGTCTCATGCAGCCCCATGTGTCCGGCTTACAGCCGCTCCTGTAGAGCCTTGGCAGTGATACAAAGTGCATAGAATCTGCTGCATAAATCATAAGCCATTTACAAAATGACTCGACGCTGCGGTCCCTTTAATCTTTACTGAGCAAGCTATTGTTACATGCTGCAATTCAGAGCCTTGTGTGTGTGTGTGTGTGTGTGTGTGTGTGTGTGTGTGTGTGTGTGTGTCTATGAGTGTGCACGTGAGCATCCTACACACTGACAGCAAGGAAACACAAGCATATGTGTGTTGCCATAGCAGCCACAACCACTGTTACTATGGTAACGGTAATCTCGCAGAGGGTGGGAAAGAGACACAGAGAGAGTGAGAGGGGTGGGATTCAAAGAGGAAGAGGGAGGGGATGGGTCATAGTACAGGCAGATTTCAACACGTCTCTCTTCCCCTCATCATCCTGCAACTTCTGTGTTTACAGGAAAGCAATCTGTGTTCACTCTTCATTCAAGCGCATTCTCTGAACTTCCTGTAAATATAATAAAACTGGACCTACACGCATCTCCAGACACAGTGATAACAGCTTAGTAAGCAGCAGTCTCTGGGAGTGACAAATGAAACCAAAGCAGAACAGCAGCTCCTTCAAAGACCACTTGAGACTTAAGAAAGAGAGTCAATCCCCATAGGGTCCCTTGTTAAAAGTTCAAAAAAAGTATGTTTCTTGCTTGGTCCATTTATAACAACTGTACCAGACAATTTTTTTCCTATTACTCAGCCTTTTCAGGTTTTGAAGGCTCAAAATTAGGGGCGTGGCTGCTTTGACTGTATACCTACAAAGGTGACTAGCCACAAGTGGTGTAGTAGACGTCACCTCAGCACATTCTGGTCACTGAACTGAGCTTTGGGTCATGTTTTTGGTGCCCTCTGGAGCCTTTTAATGCAACTATGACATTTAAAATGGCTTTCTTTTCAGGTGTTTGTATGGTGTAGCTTTGCCAAATAAATGTGTAGTATTTTAATTGTATGTAACTTAGCACTAAATTAACAGTTGTCTGCGTCTGTGTGTTGTACCTATATATTAATCAGGTATAACATTATGAACACCTTGCTAATGTTGTGTTGGAATTGGAATGAAATCTGGAGAATTTGGGGGTCAACTCAACATCTCAAACTCATTGTTGTGCTGCCAAACCATTCCTGAACTATTTTTGTTTCGTGGCAGGGTTCATTATCCTGCTGACAGAGGTTACAGCCATCAGGGAATACAATTTCCATGAAAGAGCGTACGTGGTCTGCAACAATGTTTAGGTAGTTGTTACTTGTCAAAGTAACATCCACATGGATGGTAGGACCCAAGGTTTCCCAGCAGAACATTGTCCAAAGCAACAGACTGCCTCTGTCAGTTGTATTTCTTCCCTTAGTGCATCCTGGTGCCAGGTGTTCTCCAGGTAAGCAACGCACACACGCATCTACATGATGGGAAAAAAGGCCCAATTTTCCTGCGCCTAACCCATCAACTTTGAGGACAAAATGCTCACATGCTCCCTAATATATCCCATCCAATGGTGAAGAGATAATCAGTGTTATTCGCTTCACCTGTCAGAGGCCTGATTGGTGTAAAGTCCACAGATGCAGCTTGTTAGCATTAGCTAACTACCAACACATTCTCACTCCCAAACCGTAATATTTTATGCTAGGTGACAAATCGTCAACATATTACGCTTCCGGGCACCAAACACGTCCCTAAATGAGGAGATTGGAAACATGAGAACCGTTTGGACTCAATCTACACATGTTCGTCATTTTACTTAAATTGCTTTGGAAAACACTATTTGATGTCATTAAAGTGCTGTTAAGGTTTGGGATAAGGTTATGGTTAGGGTTAGGGCTGGAATACATGGCTGGAACGTGTATTACCGCGGGACCGTCATTCTACTGGATTTCACCCATAACCCGGCGCTTAGCATAAGATTGTGGAAGGTCACCTTTCGCGTTCCTCAGGAACGCTGCGGGACGTGACAAATCGTCAGGATGTTAGGCCTCGGGAGTGAGAACCGGCTGTGACTACTAAGGTATTTGCCCTCTCCTCCAAAAATGGTCACTTCTGTCTCTAAAGAACCAAGATGAAAAAGCCCAAAATGGC